ATGTACATTTTGATATACGTTTTTAGATTATTTAACGAATAAAACCAATTGATTTTATTTTTAGCTGATATTATTTTCTAAGATTCCTTAAAACTCATGTTAAGAAAGTTTTTGTATTTTAATTTGCAAACTTACCTACCTAATGTACCTAGGTTTAATTTTCTTTGAAACTATTGGCTGTAGAACACTCGCCCCCTTATTACAAAACAAGATTTGTCTTTAGCCTAGATTTTAAACCATTTACACCCGGTTTCCAAAGGGCCGATCAATGTTAAAATCAATTTAATCTCTTGTCAAGTCATCTGATTGGTTGACTGAATTATGAACCACCAATCAGATTACTTGAAAAGAGATTTGACACCTAGTTAGTTGATTTTAACTTTGATAGGACTTTCGGAAACCAGGCATTAGTCAGGTTTTGTATTATAAAGCTTATTCTCACCTACCAATTTGAAATACAAAAACTCTGGCTGGTTTAGACCTAGATCAAAGATAAACCTGGTTTTGTAATAAGGCCTTAAAGGTCTAAATTTGAGATTTAAGTTGGTTAACAATTGTATATAATAATAATTATACTCTTTTGCTGTCGAATGTAACAATATTTACTAATAGGTACATATGTGATTTTTATTATAACTTTCGTGAGACATTCTAAATTATTTATTATGTTTTCGGCTTACTCACGTAATAATTAGACGAGATACTCGACTAGTTTCAAGCCATGCTAGAGGCCCATATTCATGAGCAGCATTCCGCGACACGCGACTCGGCGACTGTCGCGCTGCTACTGTAGCAGTGCAGGCCTCTAGCACGGCTTGAAACTAGTCGAGTATCTCGTCAAATTATTACGTGAGTAAGCCGAAAACATAATAAATAACATATGTGATTCTTTTGCTATAGTTTATTTAGTTTACATAAAACTTCTAATTTATTGAATGATGGAGGAAGGATTGAAGCCATAGGTATTGAAGGACCATTTATACCGCATTTTGGGTATTTTTGGTATAAATAGCTCTAAAATAACCTTTGATAAGTATTATCTCTGAGTAGGTATAATTTGTAACAGTTTTCTTTGTAGGTATATAAATCAATGATCGACATTAATTACCGATTTTAATTAAGTTTAAAGTTACTTATATCCTACTAATATTATTAAATGTGAGAATGTATGGATGTATTTTTTTATGCTTTCACGCAACGGCTGCACCGATTTGGTATCGAGATAGATGATAGGGATTAACACGGACTGCTTTATATCAACACACCACGCGGACGTTGGCTGGTAAAACATATGTTCTGATTTAATTCGTGTCCAGCAACAAAGACTTTTTTTATGGTAGGTATAAGTCGGCAAATGAGCAGACGCATTACCTGATGGTAAGCAAACGGCGCCGCCCATGGACTCCCGCAACACCAAAGGAGTTCGAGTGCGTTGCCGGCCTTTTGGGATATACGGGTTGCAGCTATAAGGATTGGGAAGGGATAGGGGAAGGGCCTCCCCTTCCCCTATCCCTTGGGGATGGGGATGGGGCCTCCGGTAACCTCACTCGCACGGCGAAACACAACGCTGTGGGTTGTTTCACGCCGATGAATCACGTTCCGGATGAATCACGTCCCTGGACCACTCCGGACTTCAGTGTTTCGGTTTTTTCTTGGTTATAGGATTTGCAGCCATTAAAGAAGTTGTATATATATATATATATATAAATATCTGTTTTAATATATATATATATATATATATTAAAACAGATATTTATATATATATATATATATATATATATATATATATATATATAATTAAATATATATATATAAAAATATATATTAAAATAATAAATTATTTTAATTATTTTATAATATATAATAATTATATAATAATTTGATTAGTTGGAAATTACCGTATCATAATTATTATATCCGAAATTAAAAACCATATATATATATATATATATATATATATATATATATATATGGTTAAATCAAATTTAATACTTTTATCCAAATGTCAAAAACGATCCTTTTCTATGAAAAACTGAGTTATGACGTCATAATATTTTTGTGTCAAATAACTTATTTCTTATTAATTAGCTAAAAATATCTTAAACGTAGTGTATCGATCGATCGATGAATAAAAGTACCTACACTAATTTTTCAATATTTTATTGTATTGAAACGTCAAATTAATTTATTTTTGACCTAGGAAACTACCCAGTTATAATTATATTATACTGACCTATCTCTATTGAAGGAAGAAACTTTTCTGTGCAGACCTAAACTTTAAATAAATAAGGAAAAATAACAAAAGCCAATATTTTTAAGTATAAACAGGAATTGTATGACCATGTAAATTGTATATTTCTTTAGCAAGTACCTAAATATAAGAAGAAATAAATAAAATAATATTTGTTTTATTTCATTATACTTTTTTCAGCTTTTTTGGTATGTAGGTATGTATGTATAGATATGTTTTGATATAGGTATTATAATAATAAAGTTTTTACACATATATTGAGCAAGATTAAAATCTATTAATCAGATTGTAAACTAAACTTAATAACCCACTATCTCTGCATTACCTAAAGGTCGACGAAAATGCCTTTCTTTTTTTAAGGAAGGTAAGTAACCAAACTTGTCCCGTGCGCCAAAGAGCCAATAGACCCCGACTGAGGGGCCCTACAGGCCTGATGTTCAGCCGGGGTTGGGGCAAGCTCAATGTGGCAACGCGGCCTTGATTTTCACCTGAAAAAAACTATTATTAACTTAAAAAACCCCACGTTTCAATTTTAAATCATGTCTTGTGAGTCTGACAAATTATTATCTTCGGTAGTAGATGAGATTTTAGCTTTATAAAATTGGACAGCAAATAAACCTATTTAAAACCTGGAAGTGGCCTTTTGAGGGGTTAGGGATTAAATGATTCGAGGAATCGATGAAGGAAGGGCCTCACTCACACGGCAAAACATAGGTAATGCAAGTCTTGTTATAACTCCGTAGGTACGTGCAGAAGCATGGCTCTCTTGCATTTAAAATGTCTCAAAGTCAATGTAGCACAAAGTCTATTAGTTTTTGTTTGATAACAAAAATAGATAGGTACTTTCAGTGCCCACGCTCAAACTGGATTAAATTTATTGGCTACAGCTCCCCCTTTCTCTTGAAAACCAAATAAAAACTAATATAATGCGTATGTACTTACATAATTATAATAGGTAAGCTTGTACATGCAAGCTAATGCATTTTTATAGTTCCAACTTATTTAAAAAAGGATTAAACCTTTTATTTCTTTAAAGTACAAAGTATAGTAGGTGCATTACATATTTTCATATAACTGATCTATCTTAAAATTTTAAATTGATGACGAAATGATTTTTTGTGGGTATCTATACTAAAATAGTTTCGCGCCAAAATCTTTGAAACGGAAACCATTCTGTTTTTTTTTTTGTAGTTTATAGCCTGGATACATATACGTCCTACATATAAGTCCTTTAAGCCGAAGAAAACCGTTATGCCGACTGCCAAAATGTTGCCAACGATCAAAATTTCGTTATTACGATCCTTTTTTCTGCAGTAGATTAAACAAAAGTACAAACCGTTTTATTGAAATTGTAATATTATTGCAATACTAATTATATTCAAAGAAATTATTACAATATTACTAAAGTTATCAAAACACATATACCTATCACACGTTTTACACGACTATCGTGATTTTTGGTTGAAATTAAAGAACTGATAGAAATCTGAAATTATACCTATAACTTTTCATAAACATTCTAACAAGTATAATTTAATCGATATAGGTGATATGCATTTTGTTATTTCATAATTTATTACACCACCAGGCAAGATGAAAGTCAAAAAGTAGAGAAATTGGTGTTGCGGATGTCCATGGGCGGCGCCGATCGCTTACCATCAGGTGACCCTTTTTTTTTCCTTGTAATAAACTAGTGCTTGACTGCGATCCCACCTGATGGTAAGCAGTGATGCAATCGTTGATGGTAAGGCGCACTAGTTTATTAAGAGCCTATTTACTCTAGCCTTGAAGACACCTAAATTGTATTCGGACGGAAAGACCGCAGCCGGCAAACTGTTCCAATCCCTCGATGTACGCGGTATAAATGACGAGGCAAAACGCTTAGTCCGAGCCGCAGGTGTCTCAACAACGTAGGGGTGGATATTCGCTGTACGCCGGGATATCCGAAGGTGAAATAGGGATGACGGAATCAAATCGTGCAATTCCTGGGCACACTCTCCAAAATGCATCCTGTAGAAAACCGCAAGGCTGGCTACTCTGCGCCTGTGCTAGAGACTTTGAAGATTGGACCCAACCAAATCTGGACCTCCAATCAGCCTCTTTGCACGCCTTTCCACTGAATCCAAATCCTTCTGCTCGTTTGCCTCCTATTCTATAAAAAAAATATTAGAATTGATATCCAAGTGATAGTAATTTGAAGTATATTAAACAAAATTCAATCGGTTGGACATCGATTAAATGGGGTGAGTTGTTCAGTTGGGAAAAAATTAAATATATTTAAAAATCAAAGTGATACTTCATTCAGATATATTCAATCTAAAGTTGACTAAACAATTGATTAATAAAAAATATCGCCTTTTCTTGAAATATCATTGAGTAATAACATTATATATAAATAAATAAAAATAAATATTAAGTGCAATTAGTCACTCTTAGAATAATCTTTATTTACGTTGAGTACGTAATTGATAACAATAGCTAATTCGTTTTTTCTTGTAGTGATATGTACAATTAATGAAAGGTATGTGAGTGTGCTGACGCTTGGCGCGGAACACATTTTTCTTTTTGCGTTTTTGAGGGTATAACATATCTGTGTTAATATAATATCATTGAACAATTAATTACAATAATTTTATACTTCCAGTCGATTAGTATGTTTTTGTTACTATAGACAATATGTAATAGAGAACAAACTAACCGGAAACATTTACAAAGCGCCTCCAGTGGAGGAAAGAAGTACTAGGAATAGGAAATGTTAAAAACGTAATGGTGGCTGCTTGCGGTCCATTCCATTGCTGACAACATTATTTATAAAACCGTGTGAAAACCTTCAAAAACTAAAATTTTGCCCGAAGATTGTTGGAATAAACGATCAGGTATGTGGATTTTATGATCATTTCATATGATTTTTAGCTTTAATTGCGATTGTATAATATGTAGATTAACAAAATGGCTGCTGCATTACATGAAATAGTAACGAATACCATTATTCTTCCACAAAAATTTTAGTTTTATACGTAAAGTATTAGTGTTTTTGAAATTATCAGTGACTGATAACGATGTAAACAATGAGTAAAACTTTTGTTTTTTAAATAAATTTCTATTTATTACTGGGTAAGGGCTTAAAAATTTAATAAGTATTACATTACAGATATTTATATACCGGATTTGAAATGAGTATATATTATATATATTATTCTAAGTACTACAAATTCTCAGTTCTAATACAAACTTCATAATACTCGGCTACAAATTTTATTTTTACGAAAGTCGTTAAAACTTTTGTACATTCCTTAAATTTTTGTCATTATTATTTTTTTTCTTCTTCAATTACATTTTTAGAACCCTGAAAGACTAATATTTGCCCGTAATTATTGCTGCATGTTTGAAGTACAAAAAAAAATATAAAACAACAAAAATAAAATTGGCAATATAAGAAATTTAGATAAAACATACTATTAAAATGGATGAACTCTTTGAGTCTTTGGGAATTGGTTAGACCATATTTATATATAAAAAATTAATGCCACTTTTCGTTGTAATGTTATGACTCAAAAATGCATTTACCAATTTGGCTAATTTTGAAATCCTAATTTGGAAGTCCAGAAAAGTCCAGTCAGCTTTTTAGTTAGAGAAAAATGTCTTGAAAAAGTGTAAAATCGACATACACGCGGGCGACTTCCAGTATATCAATATAATCAACTGGTTTAGATACATTTAGTCAGCGGCTTCAACTACATAAGTACCAGGTCTCTCTCAAAAGGAGGTTTACGTGTTATTCCAGACTATGATCAATATCTATGCCAAACTTAATTCAGATCTGTTCAGTAGTTATTACAAAAAAGTGTAACAAACTTGAGAATGATGTGAGAATTAATGTAAGTTGCCTATAATAATTAGAAGATTGTAATCAAATAACTTTTGTTATTGTTGTGAGGAACATTTATATTAGATTATTAATAATTAATAACTTTTAAACACTAACAACGATAAGAAATATTAATTGTCGTTAATAACAAATCCTAGGAAAGTAGGAAGACAACTCAAAAGATGGGAAGACGAGTTAAAACTTACAGCAGGCCCTTACTGGAGAAGGGTTACCAGAGATAGGATACAATTGAAAATGTTAGAGGAGGCCTTTGCCAGAAGGCACACTGAACTAAGGGATATCCTCTAAAAGAGGAAAACAAATACCTCACACACAACAGATGAAGTTCAGGATAGAGAGCTTATTGATTAAATAACAAATAAAATAGTGTTTCAGTTCAAAAACAATTCGAAAAAAAAATATACTGCTTAGAAAACTAGCATAGGTTTTTCTTTTTAACCAACTTCAGTAAAGAAGGCACTTCTCAGTTCAACTTTTATTTTTTCAAGATAAACTAAAATGTCTATTCTATTTTTCTCGAAAACTACTGAATGGTTCTGAATGGTATTTGACATAGAGATAGATTATAGTTGTAATAACACATACCATTATCCTTTTTATTACAATAATGTAGATAATGCCGCTGGTAGAAACTGGTTTAAATAAATCATTTTACTTTAATGTTTTTTTTTTTATATTTTTAGTATGAATCAATGTTGCTTTATTTGCAACAATAGAGCATCGCTGGCCCTCAAAAATGCTATCAACCTCTTTGGAGAAGATGTAAGTTTTATTTTATTTTATTTTTATTTTTATTTATTTCTTCTTCATACAAAACAGTGTGAATGGCGGACTTAATGCCTTAAGGCATTCTCTAACAGTCAACCATAGGGCAGTGCAGAGAATTCTTGCGGTTGGTGCGAAGCAAGGACACAGAGTCCTAGAACAGGATGAAAGGGGAAAGAAAAAGGAAGAAACAAACACGATTCTTTACACATAAATAAATAGATATGCATAAAATAAGTTAACAAATACAATAAATAATACATGTTAAGTATGGATATATTGAAACATACATACTATAATATACAGATATATATATATAGTATAGTATATACATATATAGATATATATATATATAGTATACAGATATATATATAGTATACAGATATATATATATATATAGTTTTACAATAATAACTTCATTGATCCTTTTATTTTTAAGGGTATTTAATATAAAGCAATTGAACTTTTTACCGAGTATAGATAAGTATAGTGGATTTTATTTATACATAAATTTGCCACATGCAATTCATTTCCCATTCACTGAGAATTATAATTTAGTTCGAGAGAAATTTAATTTAATTAGAATTTGATGTTTTTAATGCTGAACTTTTTTCCTTGTGTCTCCAAAGGATGTGATGCTGGCATACCTACCTCTTCCTATTAATTTTAATTAAACATACATTAATTTTTTTTTTAAATTTTTTATATTTATAATTCAAAAATTTCATGCTTGCTTCTTGCATCTGCCATTGGTATTCTTCTCTGCATCACCCAAAGGTCAGACTGGTAGAGAATGCTCAAAGCATTAAGTCCACCTTGTGTACAATATCTTGTGCATGAAGCTTATAATAAAATAAAATAATATATAAAGTACTTACGCCGGTTTTTTCAGTGGGAGTGTCAGACTCTTACTGACTAATAAAAGTGTGTTTAAAACCAACCAGTTCCTTCTTCTATCATAGTGTAGTGCGCTTGACCCACAAACCTCGACTAAATGGGTTTCCCAAACATTTTGGATTAAGGTCATCTTCTACTTCATCCTGATCATATGGATAACAAATACCTACTTCTCTAACTATTAAACTTTCATGTTTACAAGATATATTTACGCGAGTATTAACGTGAAAAATAGCTATTTAAATAGGTACCATGGTAGGCTTGACGTTTCGACCTAGTTGCACAGGTCGTGGTCGCCACCAGACTGAAGATGCGATGTCACATTTCATTTTCCTTTTCTACCATATCAGGCCGTCTACACATCACGCTGACCGTATCCACAGATGTGTTGACCGACTTTGAAGGAAAGCGAAGTTGTGTTATGCAATGCAAATCACTGGATTCCACGTCGACGACAATTTAAAGCCGTCCTCTATTATTTGGGCATTTTGTTTCAACCGCTTCACGCACAAGTCTTGTATGGAAGTGGCGACTTCAGATCAGTGAAGACTTGACGTTTCGACCTAGTTGCACAGCTCGTGGTCACAAGCAGACACACTTGAGACCTATAAATATAATATGTTGTAAATACCTACTTTTGTTTTCAGAGCAAATTTCCCTCAGGAAAGAAAATTTCAGAAGTTCTAAGCGAGATAGTTGGAAAGCCTGTTCAAGATAAAAAAGTGCATACTGATATTTTATGTAAGAAGTGCTGGAAAAGCTGTAACGATTATGATACCACTCGCATCAGGTATGCTTTTTTGTAGACTCACTGACTTAGCAAATTTTGTTCTGCCTCAATACTTATTAACTAAAGTTTTCTGACCTTTTAAACTATTACTGGACTTCTTTATATATGTATGAGCCTCACTCATGCGCCGAATTAAGGGAAGTGGATACTCTGCCCTATCTGAGTAGCAAAATAGTAATGTCTATTGGTACAAGTGCATACAAATATGGCATCTATTTCAAAAAAGTTAGCGTTTTAAATAGAATGAATTTAAATAGAATGAATTTGTTACAGCGCCATCTAGCATTGAGTGGCTGAACCCGTTTTAAATTGTTTTATTTAAGTTTTTTACACGATAGACGCCTTTATTGATTGTGAAATGTGAAATGATAACAACTTTCGCTCATTGTTATTAGACTCAATTTTTAACAACATTTAGATAATTTGCATAAGATGATTTGCTAAAGTTTATTTCAACTTTTTACCCAATCATATAGCTGTTTTTTATGTGTGTAATGGACAATTTGATTTGCGAATGTGTGATTTTGGCGACACTGGTTTTCCTTTTGAAAGAGTGTAGGGGCACTTCTACTGTATTTTCTGTTCTGTGTGGCAACAGAATCCTAGGGATGATCGCTGAAAGCCCAAAGTCACCAGTGTGGTATAGGTTTATAAAACTCCATGTTTTGTGAAAAATTCTTTAAATTTTATTTTTAATTAAGACTGTGTGGCATTTATTATTATTGTTTTTTTTTTAAATTGCCTCCTTATTTTATTTTTTTGTAATGATTGATTTTGATTGACTTATTTATTGAATAGATTTGAATTTACTATCATAGCATACTAGACATTTAAATTAGTCTGAAATAAATTTATTTTATTTTATTATTTTTATAATATTAGTATAGATATGGTCATCTCTGTCCCGCCCTTAAGGCATGCAACAATAAAGTTAAAAGAAGTTACATGAAATACAATATTTAATTTTTTTTTTGCTTGACGTTCAATAGTGCCTCTTGTAGTCTACTTGAAATAAAAAAAATTATTTAACTTATCATGACTCTTGAAGACTATATTCGAGTAGTGATACCTCTGAAAAGAATTCTTTTATAGATTAGTAGTAATATATATTATTAGTAGTAGTAATAACAGATCATGGTAAACATTTTTAACATAAACTCGTGTTTACAATGAACTATTTTTGTTTCTATTTCAGATTAGAAACAATGAAATCGGAATTACTAGGACAATTCAAATCAACGATAACAGCTTACAAATTAGATTATGAAAATTATGAAAAAAATGAATATGGGACACCTCAGAAACAGAAAGCGGTTGTAGGAAAGAAATTGGTGTTGCCAGCCTCAAAATTACAACCTATACCCCCGGATTTGTTACTAAAAGTTGGGAAATTAGCGGCTTTTTCTAAACCTAATATTATTTTACCACAAATAAAGGTAAGTAATTTTTTTTCTTTATGTTGTCATCTAGGGTTACGGGTCAAGCCCAATAATGTGCCGCCGCAGGAAAAGCGACGGGGGTGGTTTTTAGCCAGTAAGAGTCTGACACTCCCTTCCGTCCGATCCAGGGCGGGAGAAGTTTTTTTTATGTCGGAATACGAGCATACTCATTACTTGATGGTAAGCAATCAGGGCCACCCATGGACACCCGCAACGAAGGAGTTACGAGCGATACCACGGCCTCACAGAAAACTGGCGTAAAACCACCATAATGTTGTTATTCGCCGTGTGCGTCAGGTTACCGGAGGCCCAATCCTTCCCCTTCCCCAATCCCTAAATCTCCAAATCCCTAATCCATAAAAGGTCGGCAACGCACTCGTAACTCCTCCGTTGCCTACATAAAAAATGAGGGATTTTCTTTTTTAACAAAAAATGTTAGTTTTCTACAGCAAACTTACCTATCAATATTTTTTCTTTCAGCCAGTTACAGCCTCAACTTTAAACTTAAAAGTAACAGTCGGATCCTCAGTTCTAACTCAAACAATAAAAACAACAACGGCCAAACCTATAGAAAAACAACAAATCGACACAAATTCCATATTAAATTCTCTCTCGAATGCATTGAAAGATGATATAGACAGTTTGACAACGGCCGATGAGAAATCCATAATCAATTTTGATATAAATTCTTTACCAAAAGACTTTTTGTCAGGAACAGTTTTGAGGAAGATGAATGAAAAAGACAATGGGAAAAGTAATAACATAACTGATGATCATCCGATGGAAATTGATGAAGGTAAGTTTGAATTAGTTTATTGATGACGGAACAACTCTTTGTGTGATCTACAAATTGTTGTTCCAGGTCTGATGTGATGTGTAAACGCACCCTCTACACAGGAGAAAACCCTAGTATATAGATATTAATATATCAATGTTAGGTAATAAACTAAATTTAAGTAATCTTTGTATGTATAAATAACCTCACTCAAACGGCGAAACACAACGCTGTGGTTGTTTCACATCCGTTTTCTGTGAGGCTGTGGTATCACTCTGGTTGAGCTGACCCATTCGTGCCGAAGCATGGCTCTCCCACACTTAAACACAGTGTCTCCCAACACAGGTATCACTTGCTTAAAGGGAGGCGCCAATCACAAATTAACTTCATGTAAAAATTGTAAAACTAAATAAAACCTTTTGTATTTTATTTGTACTAATTCACTTTTACTCCACAGATTGTCTATCAGTGGTTCCCGTCACGTCAGCGGGTAATGGGCTTCTCTTACAAGTGGAGAGCTTACAGTCCACTCCCCGGACTGAAGGGACACATTATTTGGACATCGACCCCCTGGACATTTCCGGGGGTAATTCAGACTCCCAGAAATATATACTTGGCAAGCTACAAATGCTAAACGAACAGGAGGATGATGATGATGATGAAGAAGGCCGTATGTATTTATTTTTAGTATTTTTTCAATCTTTATTTAAAAGAGCTTATTTGCAATTACAAATATAACGCTCCGAACTAAGAAAAATAAATTAAGATTTTTCAAAAAGAAGAATTAAGGCAAAGATGATCTCCGCCTTAGACCCTCTTTAACTAAACTAATGAGTGCCTTAACTCTTTCACAAAGTGGAGACGATAGTAAATTTATATAAAATCCTATATTGTAACATTCTTTACCAAAAAAATCGACGTTTTAACTCGTTATTCCGAGCTCATCCCGCTAAAATATGTATATTATGATGTACATATTCAAGTTTACCGCAAACATAACATTTCGGAGAATCGATAGTGTGGCAAACGAGCCGACGGCTTGCTTGACGGTAAGCAATCGGTGTCGTCCATATACCTCAAAATCAGAGGGGTTACGTGTATTGCCTACCTTAGTTAAAGGTGACTGAGTTGATTCACGACACAGGAGAAAAATAGTTGTTTTTAAAGATAATGTTTTTAAATTGGTAGCTTTGGTAGTTTGGTAGTTTCCTACGTCAAATATAGGGTTGAGTTGAGGAAACAAAATTAAGTTCGGTTAACAAACAGCAGGTGAGGAAATAATTCTTATAGTTTAGGAGATATGTGCTGCCTGAAGGTGTAAGCAGGACAGAATAAAGGCGAATGCAAACATCTCAGTGAGGGTTGGCTGGCCACTTAGGCACTTATAATAGTGGTGTGAGAAACATAAGTAGATTTATTTTTTTATTCAAACACACTCTATAATTTATTTTGACTTTTAAATAAGTGTGGGTGATCCATGCTTCGGGTCGATACCACGGCCTCACAGGAAACAGGCGTGAAACAACCACAGCGTTGTGTTACGAGTTAGTACTATAGTTACTCCAAATTCTTAACTCCTAAAATGTCGGCAACGCACTCGTAACTCCTCTGTTGATGCCAAGATTGTTAACATTTAGTTATTTACCAAAACCAATAGACTATCATCTGAAGGTATTCAGAATAACTCTACAGTAAGTCTCTTCTAAGTTCTCAGAAGCAAGGGAGTGAAGAAATGGTTTGTAGATGACCCCTTATTACTATTTACAGATACAATCGTAGTGGACAGTGAGAACGGTTCGATACTGCGTATGGTAACGGGTCAGAAGTTTATATACGAGGGCGGCGAGATATCCTTGGTAATGCCTGATGATGATCAGGTCGAGGGCAACGGGGAACAGCAAGACCATGGTGATAGTCAAGGTATGTAACTAAATAATGTACCAAAGAATCTTTATGTCAAACTGATTTAAGAAGAGTAACTGTGGAGTTTCTTGCTCATTTTTCTCCATCGGAATTTACCCTTTAGAACGAGCAAATAGCTTCATTAAGAGGATTGACCGATAGAATGACTTCATATCTTAAAATTTTGTTTGACGTTCAAAAGTGCCTGTAAGTTTCTAATAGAAATATTTTGACTTTTGACTTCTGATCATTCAAAGTTTTGAACGTCAAGCAAAAACAGAAAAAGAAAATATATTCCAAGAGGTTTAACTTTATGCGTGTCAGTCTGTCTGTCTGTCCTCTATTGAAGGTATTTGCTCGTTCCAAAGTGTAGATTCCTATGAAGAAGAACGAGCAAGAAACTCCATGGTTACTCTTTGTCAATCAATATTTATTTATTAGCTCCTTCAGATTTAGGGTGGGGGTTCTAAACTTAGCTAGTATCAATGTTACTTTGTTGAAGTTAAATGTACCTACCCTTTTGTTTGGGAGCCGTTAAATGGCATTTACCGCCTTGGGTGGGGCGAGAGAGAGTCTCAGACTCTGACTGGGTAAAAACCACTCTGTTTCGTTAAAGCCGGCCGACAAGTACAATATAGGTCTTGCACCATCTAAGATGAATAAGATTATTTAGACATCACTGACAATTTTCAACAATTTGAAAAACAGTGTAAAAACTCGTTTAGTAGTTTTTGAGTTTATCACTTTCATATAGGCAGACGTGTAAAGGAAACTTACTTAAAAATAAAATCATCAACGTAATCGTCTGCCTATTATCAGTGCCTACTCCTGGATAAATGTCTCTTCACACAGAGAGCGCGCTTGAAAGGCGAATTGGCGATTCCAAACTTAAAAAAATTATAAGTCCAGTTTCCTCACTATCAGCCGGGGTTGCGGGGTAAGCGCAATGAGGCACCGCGACCTCGGCCCAGAGCAGGTGAAGGAACAGGGGGGTTTTTAGTCAGTAAGAGTCTGACACTCCCTCCTGCCCGGCCCTGGGCGGGAGAATAAGTCACTGGATGATTTTCCCCTGACAAAAAAAAGGTTTCCTCACTATCTTTTTCCTTCACCGTCCTCAATGGTGTCTGAATAAGCTAACAAATACATACCTACTTATAACTCAGGTTAAATCACATTGATATTTGCCATGTTTCGGACCCCTATTTTGACGTGTAAAAGTGCCGTTTTATGGCCTATTTGCAAAAATTAATTCATTGTTTCATATTATGCATAATAAATGGTCGCAACTAATCTCCGGGGCTCCACGACCTGACTAAACCTTCGTTATTTTAGTTGATAGACAGGTAGACTGTAGCTAGTTTCTTTTTTTCTTGTTCTGTTGCCAGATTCCAATGACGAGTCGCAAATAGAGTTGCAAGTATCGGGAGATGAAGAAACTGCGAACGCCATCATAGCGGCGGCACAGGAACAAGGTAACTCAAGGAAAACTGTGCTCTATTTCTATACTAGCTTTTGCCCGCGGCTTTGCCTGCCTTGTATGTTGATAAAAAGTAGCCTATGTCCTATTCCGAATTGTATACCGCACCGACCCTGCAGTCACTCAGATTTTAACTTTTGGGAGAGCCATGCTTCGGCACGAATGGGTCGGCTTAACCGAAGTATTACCAAATGCATGGCATGAAACAACCACACCGTTGTTTCGCCGAGTGTAACCAATCCTTTTCTTACCCCAATCCCTCCCAAAATCTCCAAATCCCTAATCCCCAAAAGGTCGGCAACGCACACGTAACTCCTCCGTCGTTGCAATTGTCCATGGGCGGCGCCGATTGCGGTTTCATTAGGTTTTTTTTATGTGATAGGTCGGCAAACGAATTACCTGATGGTAAGCTACCCGCAACGACGGAGGAGTTACGAGTGCGTTGTCGACCTTTTGGGGATTAGGGATTTGGAGATTTTGGGAAAGGGACCGGATTGGGGTAGTGGAAGGATTGGGCCTCCTCTAACCTCACTCACACGGCGAAACAAAACTCTTTGGTTATTTCACACCGGTTTTTTGTGAGGCTGAGACTCCGGTCGAGCCGACCCATTCGAAGCATGGTTCTCCGACACATTAAAGGTTATACGTTTGGTCACTTGCCGACCTATCATATAAAAACAATCTATTTATTATTATGTATATTTACTAGGTGGAGCGTTTATAAAGGTGGAGTCGGGCGAGATGTTCCGCGTGAAGTCAGTAAGTAGCGCGGCCCGGCCCGCCACCCCACTGCAGATAGTCGCGCCGCAGGGAGACAAGTTCAAGTGTCTACTCTGCGAGAAAAATGGTAACTATTATCACTATGAAGTTAGTTTAGACTTCAGGTGAACGTAATCAACATTATATCTGACGAAAAAGCTTTATTGACTTAATTATTTGTGGGAGAGCCAAGCTTCGGCACGAATGGGTCGGCTCGATCGGAGTGATATCACGGCCTCACAGAAAACCGGCGTGAAACAATCAGTGTTTTGTTTCGCCGTGTGAGTGAGGTTACCGGAGGCCCAACCCTTTCCCTAATCCCTCCCCAGTTCCTAAATCTCCAAATCCCTAATCCCTAAAAGGTCGGCAACGCACTCGTAACTCCTCCGTTGCGGGTGTCCATGGGCGGCGCTGATTGCTTACCATCAGGTAATCCGTCTGCTCGTTTGCCGACTTATTACATTAAAAAAAATATGTGATTAAGTAGACTTTGATAGACTTGTCGTTGACTGACTTTTTATTGATTTGACTTTACATATGTAATGCCTTGGATGGACATGGACTACGCTGTTATGACTTGAATTTGACAAAATGTACTTTAATTTTTCTGACTTTATATTGAAATTGACTTTATTCTGATTAATATTACTTGATATTTCTGTGTGTCTATTGAGAATTGTTCCTTTGCAGGTACAGACCAGGACCTGGTAAGCGAAGCTGACGAAATGATGCGACATTTGAAGACCGTTCACGACGCTCGCATCTACTTGTGTCGGTTCTGTGGCGCTGTTATGAGGAAACGTAACGAATACGCCACTCATATAGGTAATAATATCTCACACATCACATCGGCTTACTTATATTATATATATTTTTTTTGTTTTTTTTAAACGTTGCCCCACACAAGGTCTTTCTCCTGTGTCGTGGATGCGTTTACAAACATACACTTTCATATACACATGACACCCAGACCCGAAACAACAATTTGTGGATCACACAAACTGTTGATCCGTGCGAGAATCGAACCCGTGACACGTCGCACGGCAGCCAGTTGCCCAGCCACCGCGCTAACCTGTCAGTAGTAGTTTCTTGCTCGTTCTTCTCCATCGGAATCTACACTTTGGAACGAGCGAATAGCTTCACTAAGAGGACTGACCGACAGACTGACACTTTGTATCTTTAAAGTTGTGTTGACGTTCAAAAGTGCCTGTATGGGTCTAATTGAAATAAATGATTTTGACTTTTGACTTTTGAGTAGCCGCCAACCATATTATAAATGAGAAAGTTACGATGTTTGGATGTTTGTTATTTAATCACGCCAAAACGGCAAGATTGTCATAGAATACACTACGGAATAGGACATAGGCTACTTTTTATCAACATACCACGCGGGCGAAGCTGCGGGTGAAAGCTAGTCAGCGTATAAGTGCCCACTGCTGAGCAAAGGCCTCTTCTCACACGGAGAAGGTTTGGATATTTATCACGCGCTTGCTCAAGGCGGATTGGCGATTTAAAACTTATAATTCGAAATTATAAGTCCAGGTTTTCTCATGATGTTTTCCTTCAACGCGTGTGAGTGGTGTCTAAATAATCATATAAAGTACATATGGCTCGGAAAAAGTTACATTGGTACTTGCCAGGTTTTGAAACCTACTTATACATCATAACGTTTCCATAATTTTACTAGCTGCACCGAAAAAAATTGATATTTCGAAAAAAATGTTGAGGCGAAGAACCCTTGTCATAGGGGTATGAAAATTAGGTAGTAGCTGATTCTCAGACCTATTGAACATGCTAATAAAATTTATTAAAAATCAGTAAACCCGTTTCGGAGGAGTATAAGGTAACTATCTATTAGCGACGATAGGTAGAGATCAGAATTATAAATGAGGAACTCGCTAGTATAATGTAATATTAAGAATGCTTATATAAAACAAAGCATTTATTTTGTAAATAGGCCATAAAACGGCACTTTTACACGTCAAAATTATATGTGAAAAACTAGATGAAGCCGGCTTTTCCTATCTGACTACTCTGAGAAGAAATGCCGGAACAGACTCAGAGGTCAGTTTCTTTTCAAGTCCAGACAATGTAAAAAATAATTTAATGTGCGAGAACCATGCAAGTTTATTCTGTAGTGGTCTTTTGAGAAAAGAACCACACCAGTTTAAGTGGGCCCGTTCTAAAGAAAGACACGCATGTGTCAGTTTACAACCAGTTAAAGTAACAGGTGTTGCTGAGTTGTCCGACGAACAATACCGATCAAAAGAAATAAGATAAATATCATCGAAAAGCGCGGCAAAGTCTCACACAGTCCTTACACTAACAATAAGATTGAAATACGATCAGCTAGCGCAATCCCTATCCCTTTCCAATCCTTATATCCGCAACCCTTATCCCCAAAAGGCAGGTGTTGTGAGTGTCCATAGGCGGCGCCGCTTGCTTACCATCAGGTAATCCTAGTGCTCGTTTGCTGACTTATTCCATAAAAAAAGATTTGACTACAGACTTCCGTGAGCCACCAAAGTGTGAAGAATATGCAGGTATAAAAGAAAAGACGTGATTTCTGGTGAACCAGGGAATTGTGGTCATGACGACTTATCTTTGGTAAGAAATTGCGGTCCTGACCACCACAATGAAGATGATAAAAGTTCCAAATCTAGCCGAAGCGAGGTCTGCGGGGTTTTCAGCCGACGAAACTTACTTCCAAGCCTCCTCTCCTACAGTATCCTGAATTTCAGACACGCGATGACGAATGTATGCTTTTAATTGATTTGACGAAGTAGCTAGCCAACTCAAACCAATTGTGGAAATACATCAACACTGACAACAACACCTTCGAGTACAACTGTGAACCCAACATGGCATCAGACAACTCAAGTTGCGGTATGGTGGTGGATTTGATTGGAGCTACCTTGCTTTTAGCGGTGAGTAGGTGTTCTGTGACCTCGACATCGTTGAAACACACATTATAGATAGATAAGACATTTATTCAGCACAAACAATAACAGACACAAATTAATGCCGTGACCCGAGAGTATAACTACTCTCGGGTCACGGCATTTTAGCTGAGCACTTGGCCTTTTTGCGCCGTGCATACTTTCCTTATAAGTTGTACCTAATGTGTATTTTTTAAATTTTTGCGGTGCAAATAAATAATTTTTCTTTCTTTCTTTCAATGGGGATGCAAACATAAAAACACGCCCCATAAGCTTTTTCGGAAGCGTCAGTGAATATGTGCAGCTGTAAACGGGACGCAGATTCACAATATCCACCGAGATATCTTGAAGGTGAGAACTATTTTAGAAATGATTCCAAGCATACTGAATATGCGCGGGAGCAAGTTCACCCCAAAAACATTTAGCCAGCCATAGTTGCTGCATGATAGTTTGGGCTTCCAATATGCACGGACCGACTAGACCAATAGGATCAAGGATCATTGACGCCATGATTGACAACATGTGACGTTTAGTAGCCTTTTCACTTTTTCAGTGATGTTTAAGGAAACAGGAAAAGAAAATGCGTCACTCAAGGGTTTCCATTGAAGCCCCAAAATCTTCAACAGTTCGTCGTCGCTCAGGATCACAATGTCAGAATGCGATAGTAAGCGACCTGCGGGCGTTGGGGATCGAGAGATGATCTCCGGCCGCCGTAAGCGCGGGTATGCGGACGGCGAATAAGGGTAGCTCGCCGCCCGGCCCGAGCATACGGCGCGTAGCGTTCCGCGCGCGCTTCGAAGAGCCAATAGGCCACCACAGACGGGGCCCTATAGGGCTGATGTTCAGCCGGGGTTACGGGGTAAGCGCAATGAGGCCACCGCAGCCACGGCCTAAAACAGGAGAAGGAACGGGGGTGTAGTAAGTAAGAGTGACATTCTCGCCTTATCCTGGGTAGGAGAAGTCATTTGATGATTTTATCCTGAAAAAAAGAATACTCAGCTTTACCACCCAGCACTTGAATGGACCTGGCTGGAATTGGACTGCCATTTCCGAAGATTGTACCTCGCTGACCGTAGAATACCGTCAACACTATAGGCCTTTTTTAAGTTTTTGAAACATGATCCACCGGACAGAAAATCATCGACATAAATCACGAGCTATGGAAATGTTAGTCGAGGTATCTGAGCACTCTTCACCCAGTTGAAGCAAACACCAAGTGACTAAAATTGGTTCCGATGCTGTGCCGTACGTAACCATGTTAAGGGTGCAGGTACTCCTTCAACAGATGACTTGGTTCGGCTCTCCAAAGGATTTTTTATAGAGGACGATTACTGTCGTGAACAAGAGTTGGTTGGTACATCTTTTCAATGTCAGCGCTGATGACTATTTTACGCTGACGGAAGCGAAGTAGTATTGACAACCGATTTTGTGACGCGAGAATTTTATATATAAGACTAGCGGCCCGCCCCCGCTTTTCACGGGTCCAACTATCTCGCTATCAAAGGGTCACTTTTCCTAATTTTCCCCTATACTTTTCAAATATTTTCTTTAATAGGAACCTTTGCCTGACAATAACAATCACAACAAAAAAGAATTAGCAAAATTGGGTTTATGCGCTTATCAACACATTTTGCGATCCATTTTTATAAAGAAGACTAGCGGCCCGCCCCCACTTCGCACGGGTCCAACTCACTTTTTCCTAAACTTCTCCTCTACTTTTCTAATATTTTCTTTGATAAGAACCTTCTCCTGACAGTAACAAACATAACAAAAAAATAATTAGCAAAATTGGTCCAGGCGTTGTTGAGTTAAGCGCTTACCAACACATTTTGCGATCCATTTTTATATATATAGATTTAGATTTTTTAGAAAAGTAATGAATTATCTATAGAGTCGAAAGTTGGTAAGTATCAATGTGACCTTTACCGAGTTATATGTATTTTCTAAGTTTATTTAAACACCTCTGACCTACCGTGACGGAAAACATCGTGAGGTAACCTGGTCTAAGAAATTTCTTATTATAGGTTTGATATCGCCAATCCGTCTTGGGCAACTTGGTGGTTAATGCCCATACCTTTACGGTGTGGGAAAAGGCTTTCTAGTTATAACTTTGAAATTTTCGATTTGTGCTCAGTTGTTTCTCGTGTAAAAAGAGTAATATTTGTATAGCGGGACATGGCGCGGATGGAAAGGCTGGGGCGAGCGAGGGCGGGGCCGCGGGAAGCGCTGGGGGCGCGGGGGGCGCGGGCCGGGGGGCCGGGCACCGCTGCGGCACGTGCGGGAAGTGCTTCAGTAGCCGCAGCCTGCTGGCGGAGCACCACAACGTGCACTCGGGGGCGCGGCCCTACCGCTGCACACTCTGCCACAAGGCCTTCGCCTCCAAGTACACGCACCAGGCACATCTCAAGACACATGCGGTCAGTAAGAGAGCAGTGCTTCTGATACTATGTTTTCCTAAAATTAAAATCAAAGTTAACCTCACTCAAAAGTATACAAAATGGATTTCTAAGAGCCTTAAAAACGCAATAAAAACTAAAAGAAATCTACGATTTAAATACTACTCTAAACCTAAAAGATTAGATGAGACATAAAATCCCTAAAAGATTCCACAGGCTATGATCAAAAAGTATGACCACTATAATCATAAAATTCATAGACCCTGCTACTATCCCAACTCTCGTACATCTAATTAATTAGTCACTATCAACAGGCGTGTTCCCGGACAACAAGATATCAGTAATTAAACCAATTAAAAGAAAGGGAATCAAAAAAATATTGACAATTATAGACCAATATTGTTTTGCTACTTATACTCGCAAATATTTACGAAAAAAATTGCATTCCAGGCTTACCATTTTTATTGAAAGATTTCGAATCCTAAGAAAAGAACAATATAGATATCAAAATAATTAATCGACAACCATGGCGGCATTTAATTTGATAAACCAAGCTTCTAAAAATATTGACTGCATAATTCCAAACAACTGTTATTTTCTTTGATATGTCTAAGGCCTTTGATTTTGTTTCTCATGACTTAATCCTGAAAATATGAGAAAAATATGGACTACGCGGCAAAGCAAATGGACGGATAAAAAGTTTCTTACAAAACGATCACAATTTGTAGAAATCAACGTAGATAAAACTAAACAAAGCAAACTTGCATATAAATCTAACTTGGCACAAAAAATACACAGGCGTTTCTCAGGGAAGTATTTTAGGTCCTCTACTATTCCTATTATACATTAAAAACCTAAATGGAAGATACAAATTATCCTTGCATACTTTTCGCAGATAATGTGTCAGTCATAATATCAAAGAATAACGAATATTACAACCAAGAAATAAATAACACTGTCAACAAAGATATGAGATAGTTGAATGGAGAATAATAACTTAAAACCTAATATAATAATGAGTTTCCTTTGATTTTAATCAGCATGAAACGCACTTTCTGTAGGTACAACTTTGATAATTGTAGGTTTTTAGTTTTTGAGAAAATCGAATTAGAGTGTCTAGGTAGGTAGCGAGTGGCTCGATTTATTTGCTGTCCAGTGTATATTCTTAACCATATCAAAAACTGTCATTGTTAAAATGTATTTATCCATATGTTCCCAGGTTCGACCCCGTCCGTTCAAATGCAATCAATGCGGCAAATCGTTCCTCACACAACAAAATCTCAATCAACATGAAAAGACTCATTCCGGGATCAAAGATTTCATCTGCAATATATGCAGTAAGTACTTTTACTATCCCTACTATTATATGTATACACCTGAAGGTAAGCAATCGGCGCCGCCCATGGACACCCGCAACGCCAGAGGAGTTAAGAACGCGTTGCCTTCCTTTAAGGGATTGGAGGAGGGGAAGGCCTGGACCTCCGGTAACCTCACTCACACGGCGAAACACAGCGCTGTGGTTGTTTCACGCCGATTTTCTGTGAGGCTTCATTGGTATTCACCATACCCGAGGGAAATGTGGGAAAGCCATGCTGCGGCACGAATGGCTCGGCTCGCCCGGAATGATACCACGGCCTCACAGAAAACTGGCGTGAAACAACCACAGCGCTGTATTTCGTCGTGTGAGTGAGGTTACCGGAGACCTATACCTTTCCCCCTACCCCATCCCTTCCCAATCCTTAAATATCGGAAAACTTTATCCCTAAAACGTCGGCAATGCACTCGTAACTCCTTTGGTGTTGCGGTTGTCCATGGGCGGATTTCTTACCACTAGATAATCCGTCTGCTTGTTTGCCGACATATGTATGTCATAAAAAGTCATAAAATAGCATTCACATTAACATTAAAGAAGATGACTGGCATTGTAGAGACGAGATTGGTCCTGCGGTAACATCATTCATTGCAGCGTTTTTCTATGAGATCGTGACTTTAAAACACACTCCATCCAAATATTAAAAAATATTCCCTCCGCTTCCAGACAAAGCATTCAGTACTCAGCACAACCTGGAAGTGCACGGCGTGGTCCACTCGGGGAACAAGGCCTTCGTCTGCACCGACTGTGGGAAGGCCTTCGCGCGCAGGGCAGAGCTCAGGGACCATATGCGGATACATACTGGTATGGAAACAAGATTTTACTTCTAAACTACAAAAGAGATTGGAGTTCCTAGTTGATAAAACTCCAACAATTTTTCATTTCATTGGGTCGGGTAGTTTTTGAGTGAGAAAGCGATGTCCCTGTCGGAACTATAGATATTAGATATAGGGACCCCCCCCCTTGTTGCAGGCGAGCGTCCGTTCTCGTGCGAGGAGTGCGGCGCGAGGTTCACTCAGCGCTCGAACCTGCACTCCCACCGCCGCGCCACGCACTACAACGACACCAGGCACCACTGTACCCTCTGTCCCAAGAAGTTCAAGCGGAGGAGGTGCGTATTTACTCACTTACTTAATTCACCACCGCCACTCTACACGCGGGTGTAATATACCCTCCTATAGTAAAATGGTGTAGATAGGTTACCTAAACAAAATTCGATTTTCAAAAACGACACACTGTGAGATGGCATGATTCAATCATAGCGAGTGAAAAAGAGACAAATATGAAAAGTGCGGCTAGTTAACCACATTGTAATGTATCACTTGCTGAGCGCTTGTAACCTATCTACACCTTTTTATATATAATATCATTGGGTAGAGCCGATTGCTTACCATCAGGTAATCGGTCAGCTCGTTTGCAGACCTATCTCATAGAAAAACAAGTGAACTCTTGTGGTGATACCTAACAAGACGAAATTCTGTAGAAGAATCGTTTGCTTTAATAAAGAAATATTTAGAAGCTGATGATGATGATATCTGGTCCCAGGTTACTAGAGTACCACATAAAGGCGACGCACACGGGCGAGCGTCCCCTGAAGTGCAACGTGTGCCAACTGTCCTTCGTGTACCCCGAGCATTACAAGAAACATGTCCGCATACACTCCGGGGAGAGGCCCTACGTCTGCGAGGTAACTATACTGTTATAGGGCTTCTTAAGGGGGGGAAAGATCTACAAAAGTATTTCTGGGACCCTGGATAGGGCGAGAGGGAGTGTCAGACTCTTACTGACTTGAGTCACCGCGGCCTCGGCCTAGAGCAAGAGAAGGAACGAGTGGGGGGGGGGAGGTTTAGTCATTGAGGCGCTCCTTGTCGCCCAACAGAGTGGGAGAGAGGTCATTTGATTATCTTACTCCTCCAGAAAAAGGGTAAGCAAACAATGCTTCTCATATCATCAGAACACTAATAGATTAGCATTAGGCCTCCGATAACCTAAGCTGGATTTCTCTGAGGCTATGGTATCACTCTGGAGAAACCGATTTATTATGTCTCCCCTCACACAAAAATAGACTCTTACTAAGTTTTACCTCATTCCGTCTCCTGCTAACACAACGTGTGATGTAAAAAAAAAACTAAAACTATAAATGGCATATAAAATAAATATTATATCGTAATGGCCCGAAGGTTAAGGCCTGAAACCTGACAAGCACCAATGTGACTTTTTCCGTGTCATATGTTGATTCTTTGTTCATTTAGACACTACTGACAAACTGTGAAGGAAAACATCGTGAGGAAACCTGGACTTACAAATTACTTATTAAAAGTTTGTCGCTAATCCGCCTTGAGTAAAACAAAGTTCAAACTCTATCCGTGTGAGAAGAGGCCTTTGCTCAGCAGTGAGCACTTAAAGGCTGATGATGTGTATATAAATATATTATAAATAATGAATCTCCAATTCGGACCGAGCACCTAGCTTCACTGACGAACAGACTGACAGACTATAATAATATTCCATTTTGACTTGGACTTGTAATAATTCCCCAGATTTGCGGCAAATCGTTCAACTCTCGCGACAACCGAAACACGCACCGCTTCGTGCACAGCGACAAGAAACCTTACGAGTGCGTCGCCTGCGGGGCTGGGTACATGAGGAAACAACTGCTCTACGCCCATATGAATACCAGCGTAAGCCTTACAAAACTTGCATGTACTACATAGCACTTTGTTATCTCGTAGGACGGCAACGACCTGATGTTAAGCAATCAGCGCCGCCCATGGACCGACGACGACGTCAGTCACGACTGCGTTGCCGACCTTTTGGGGATTAGGCCTCCGGTAACCTCAATTACACGGCGAAACACAACGTTGTGATTGTTTCACGCCGGTTTTCTGTGAGGCCGTGGTATCACTCCGGTCAAAAGTCGGAAGCATAACTCCCGCACTTAATATAAAAAATGGTATAAAAGTCACTTTCTCCGTCCCTATTACCTATGTACACTTAAATCTTTAAAACTGCGCAACAGATTTTGATGCAGATTTTTCAATGGAAAGTGTGATTGAAGAGGAAGGTTTATAATTATGTAAAATAACATCCCTTAACTAGTGGGGAAATTTAGTATTACCATTGCTAAGCCGGGGCGGGTCGTTGGTACTACAATATCTGCAATACTTGTTAACCTAGATCGACCCACCTTTCAATGCATATCACTTATTAATTTTAGCCATTAGTCGTTTTAGACATCATTACATAATCTGTTTTTATTTCCACAGGGTCACCTGGCGGAGTCCATCGTTGTCAATCAACCTAGAGTCATCAAAGTTACGGAAAATGTTCGTATATTTATAAATATTAACACGTTACTGAGGGTCAGGCTGCACTGTTGGCCCAGTGGCTTGACTATAGGCTGCTGTACAACGTGTCGGTAGCTCGATTCCCGCACGGAACAATTGGGTAGTTTTCTAGGTCAAAAATATTGAAAAATGACTATAATTTTATTTATTGGTCTGTCAGTACACAACATTTTTGATATTTTTTAGCTAATTTTAAGAAATATGTGCGCTAAAATACTAGGTATGTCGATTTAATTTGGAGTTTTATACAAATTTCATAAAGAGTATTGAATTGGACTAGTTGGAAACTACCGTATTTCTTGATGACATCCACAAATTGTTGTTCCGGGTCTGGGTGTGATGTGTATGTGACATTGTATGCTTGGAAACGCACCCACGACACCACAGAAACACCTAAAATGGAGTAACTGTTTCAAAACATAATTTTGATTTTAAAGTATGATTGTAGTTTTTAATTAAAGTCCTTTTTCTTTTCCCAGGGAACTAGTTCGCATGCTACGGATATAACTGACCTAGACACAAAAACCAGTAAATTTGATGCGGTAAGTTGGCATAGCAATATTTTGTTTGCGCTTTAGAGGAACCAGTAAACGTGGTATACCTAGGAGGTAATGAATATTGTGGCGAAAATAATTGGAAATCACTAAAATAAAGAAAAACGTAACATAATATAAACTGACGAAGTTGACATTACGATTGGGCTTTGTCAAAACGTTTTTTAGTTAGTAGGTAAGACTCTGACACCCCCTCCCGACCCTGGGCGGGAGAAGTCATTTGATATTTTCCCCTCACAAAAAAGGGTCTAATTGAAATAAAGGCTTTTTTACTTGACTTTTCAAAAATAAAATATTTTTTACAGATATTCGAGGCACAGACTGAATTGGAGGCTAGCATCAAGTCCGGTGAGTATTTTTGTTATTGCATCGGTCGGCTAACGAGCGTCCGTACTAACTGAAGGTAAGCAATCGGCCGTGGTACCCTACAGTATTCTCATCCTCACAGAATTACGGCGTGAAACAACGTCGTAGTTCGCCGTGTGACTGAGCTTACCGGAGGCCCTTCCGAGAATAACCCACAATAGTTCGGCAAACCACTTGTAGTAACTTCTATGGAGTATGAGTCTCCATAGGCGGCGCCGATTGCTTCCCATTCAAAATATAATTAAAACTAACTACCTATTTCGCTATCCGTAATTAGTATTATAAAAACCTTTTTTTTACATTTTCAGTGAAATCAGAAGCTGACGTGAATTTAGAAGATGCCAAATTCTATATTACTGAAGATAAGAAATTAATATTGCAGGATAGTGGTGAGTTATAATGTTGTCAGTAATATATGACGGAGTCTGGAACTATGGCTCGTGTACTGTGCTAGTATAGCTTATACCAACGTCGTGGTGGCTCGGAGGTTAAGGCGCTTCTCATGCATGGGGTAAGGGAACGAAACCTGACAAGTACCAATGTGACATTTTCCGAGTTATATGTACTTTCTATGACTATTCAGGCATACATACGGTGAAAGTAAACATCGTAGAGAAACCTGGACTTGTATAATTTCTAATTAAAAGTTTGACATCGCCAATCCGCCTTGAGCAAGGATGGTGATTAAGGCTAAAACCTTCTCCGTATGAGAAGAGGCCTTTGCTCAGCAGTAGACACTTTAGGCTGATGATGTGATACAGCGATATCCTTACTCTGGTCTCTCTAACTGCACAAAAGTCTCTCCGTTGTAATGAAGTGTTTATCTCAGACTCAGAAGCGAGTATGAAGGTTTATTTGTTTGATTTAATATTTTATTATGTTTCAGATAAAACGACATTGAATTTAATACAAGAAGGAGACGAGTCTACGCTTTTAACTATACGTAAGTCTTAACTGTATTATTTTAAGGTTGATTTTTCTTAATTTTTTCTGTTATAAAATTGATTACAATTCAATTTAAAAAAGTGAAAAGTGAGTGACTTATTTAAATCTATATATTTGTTGCAGATAACATAGGAGAGAGGGCCGACGCGACAATTTTAGAAGCTGTCAATGCTGACCAATTGTCTGAACAGACTGAAGTAAGTTTTATCCGTACAAACATGTAATACTAGTTACTGTCGCGCGGTTTCACCCGCTGCTTGTTTCTATTATTCTCTATGAAGTTTCATAGTCCAAGTCTACAGACTATAAAACTTGAGGGTGTGGACCACTTTATTATAGACAATATTTCCGTTCTGGTACTAAATTTCTTCACTATTTAATGGATGCTAGTATACACATAAACCTTCCTCTTCAATCACTCAATCTATAAAAAACTGCCTCAAAATCTGTTGCGTAAAGATGTAAGCATACATAGGGATATAGGGACAGAGAAAGCGACTTTGTTTTATATTATGTACTTAGTGGTGGTAATGTCCTTCAACGTGTTCATATATTTCTATTTCAGATCGTAGCTAATGATGAGAATGGAGGCATGGTGCGACTAATCCAAATCAAATTACCTGACGGTAACAACGGATGGGTGGCAATCAATCGCTGAAACATTTCTGCCGGGCTAAGGACTCTGCCAAACACCGGTCAATGGGAACTGTTAATTTATATTTTAATGCCCATCTTTACATACGTCTTTACGTCTACATAATCACATAATTTCGTCTATGTATTTGTCCTATCTAACTGACGGACTAAATAGATAGATATTATATTTTAATATCCTGTTGTCCCCTAGTATAAGCCAAATTATCGACAAAAATATCTGTGCGTTAGTCTGTCTAAATCTCTAAAACGGCCGAACTGACATAGTTAAGTTTAATTTTTAAATATACGTGGAACTCTAGGGAAGGTTTCAGTGAGAAATTATGAAAATGTGAGTAAAATAATAAAAACGCGTGGTACCACGCCGTCGCAGTCCTCCAATCCTTCCCCTCCCCCTATCCCCAATCCTCAAATCTCTACCCCAAAAAGCCGGCAACGCACTTGTAAGTGTCTTCCTTCTTCATATTCGGCGTAGATTGCTTACCATCAGGTATTCCGTCTGCTCGTTTGCTGACCTATACCATAAAAAAGACTTATTTGCATAAGTTATCTATACTGTCTATTATATTTATAAATCAATTGGAACCTTTTTAAGGGGGCGAAATCATCTTAACTCTTCCCCCGCCCGGGGTGGGGTAAGAGGGAGTGTCAGACTCTTACTGACTAAAAACCATCTCACCCTGGGTGGGAGAAGTGATTTAATAATTTTTCAATAGAAAGATTATTGAAACTGATTGAAAATCAATTCAATGGGTCTGTTCTTGTGCTCTTCAATGGCGCTAGACTAGCCAGGGATTGGTCCAAACACTAGTTGACAGAAGAAATTGTATAACAATAGCTGATTCTCTATTGGGCGAATTAAAGACAGCGCCATCTGTTGAGCAAAAAATACACTAGCAGCCAAACCCGTTATGGACCTATTCTTGTCTATCTATTTAGTAATTAACTAAATGTAAACAATGTTAGCATGGCTTTTTATCTAAACGTTGTTTGTAGAAATGTTTACAATCAGGTATTTACCCAACTTGATGCTAGCTTATAAACTAAATTTAAATAATCTTTGTATGTATTTTGTACGAGCTCTTTAATAGAAAAAGACATACCGACATTGTTTACTTTTAGTAAACCATCTAAACTGATAGACCACAGGTTTTTTAAATCAAGTAATTATTTATGCGGTAGGTTCCAACTAGTTAAATTCAATACTTTTATCCAAATGTCAAAAACGGTACATTTCTATGAAATTTGTATGGAGAACTGAGTTACGACGTCATAGCTTTTTTGCGTCAAATAGTTTACTTATTTCTTAAAAATTAGCTCAAAAATATCTCAAATTCAGTGTATCGATCGATCGATGAATAAAAGTATAGTTATTTTTCAATATTTTATTGTATTGAAACGTCGAATTAATTTATTTTGACCTAAGAAACCACCCAATTATTTTTGTCTATCATGTATCAATATTAATCTTATACTGATAGTTTTACTTTAAATTTGACTAATTTTGCTGTTAACTAAATGATGCGATCATGGATTCGATGCCCGAATCTGGCCAAAATATCCAAAATTCAATGTTTATATAAGTAAGAGGCGTATTTTCATGCCCGATGTAAATTAATAATCGCTTTGCCCGAACGGGAATCGAACCCATGATCATGTGGCATTCACCTAGTCTTGTATTTATAGAGACAATATGTTAATGTAAGTAGGTAGCGAAAAATGAAATAATGTTTTAAATTATATTATGGGAATCGCATAGCGATTGCATTGTTATTAGGAGTAAATATTTTATAACAAAGATATGTATTGCAACATATAATGTTTATATGAAATAAAACAGTTTTTAGTGGCACTTGGTTATTTCATGCTTCCTCTAAAGGCCCGCTAGCTTTCCCTTTTGCGTGGAATAATATCAAACATCGATACATTCTCACGAACTTTCACGTTTTTATAATATATGTAGGAAGGCCGGCCGCTCTAGGACTTGCGGCGGTACTCACCGCTTAGCCTTTCATTGTAAAATTCAAAAGTCAAAAAGTAAATCAAATCAAAATCATTTATTCCAACTAAACCATAAATAGGTACTTTTGAAACGTCAAAATAGAATGGTCTGTCAGTCTGTTCGTCAGTGAAGCTAGGTGCTCGTTCCAAATTGTAAATACGGACTTGTATTCATAAAATACATAATTCTGTCCTAGCCCGAAATATTCAAAAAGTCTCTCTAGTCGGATTTCATAATGAAGAGGCAATTTTTCCATTTTCCAACATATTTGTCTTTGACTAGACGAACAGGTTTATTTAGCTCATGGCGGGCTCAAAAAGTAACGATAATTGTGAAACTTACAAAAATGCATATTATTATATCTCTGTCTGTTTTCACTTATGAAAAGCAGTTTTCACGAAATAAATTAAGCGTATTTTTTTCTAATACCTAATCAAAGTAATTAACCATGAATCACCATACCCATCAAATCACAATATCCACCAAATCACCATATCCACTAAATCACCATATCCACCAAATCACCATAAATGCATATTTGCCAACGCATTTATTGATGCCCTATTTGAAGAAATCAGCTAGACGGGAGGCAACACATTCTTCAAAGGCATTTTCATTGTCTGTCAGGTAGGTATTGAATTATTTTCCCGACTAGAAATTAATAAAATTTCGCAGAAAGTAAAAGTCAGTTGGCGCTAGATCTGGTGAGTAGGTACGGTGGAGAACTTCTCCCCAGCTCTTGTAGCTTAGAGACCGTCTGATGTGCAGTATTATGAGCCGAAGGATTGACCGAAGCTGGTTGGAGACTTGCGAGCTTCACCATCGTAGTGTTCAGTTCTTCACAGATTCTGGAGTAATGTTTGTGTTTTTGGTAAAAAGCTGAGATGCTTTACACACTGTAAGGATGGAAGAAACGAAAGATGTTGTACATGAATACAGACTGTCATTTATTCAGAGAGCACTACATTATAGGTATACAATTTCAAGTTTCATACGTAGTGTAGTGTATAGTTTCATAAGTAGTATTACATTCATAAATGTAATATAGTAGATGTAGATGTAGATGCTTCATACGGTAGAACACTAAGAAAAAAGAACATTTATAGCATTTTTTGGATCCTGAACCAGGGCTCTACCAACTTGCCGAGCACATACGATCGTCAAACAGGATCCATTACTCGCCACAAGTAACGATGGGGTTCAGAATTTCTTGCAAGAAGATGCCTTGCGTGCCTTGCAGTTCGCAAGGCACGTCTTGAGGTGCACAGCGCGTTGAGGTGTAGGAGGGACGGCGGGGTCGCGGGGTCGGTGGGGGCGCGGGCCGGGGGCCGGGCACCGCTGCGGCACGTGCGGGAAGTGCTTCAGTAGCCGCAGCCTGCTGGCGGAGCACCACAACGTGCACTCGGGGGCGCGGCCCTACCGCTGCACACTCTGCCACAAGGCCTTCGCCTCCAAGTACACGCACCAGGCACATCTCAAGACACATGCGGTCAGTAAGAGAGCAGTGCTTCTAATAAGTTTCACGAAACACTTGTATCGTTCTTCAGCCTATGTTTACCTAAAACTAGAATCAAAGTTAATCTTACTCAAAAGTATACAAAATGGATTTCTAAGGGACCTAAAAACGCAACAAAAACTAAATCTACGATTTAAATACTACTTTAAACCTAAAAGATTAGATGAGACATAAAATCCTTAAAAGATTCCTCAGGCTATGATCAAATACCCACTAAAATCTTAAAATTCATAGGCCCTGCTACTATCCCAACTCTCGTACATCTAATTAATTTGTCGCTATCAACAGGCGTGTTCCCGGACAACAAGATATCAGTAATTAAACCAGTTAAAAGAAAGGGAAACAAAAAGATATTGACAATTATAGACCAATATTGTTTTGCTACTTATACTCGCAAATATTTACGAAAAAAATTGCATTCCAGGCTTACCCTTTGATTATTAATATGCGCCCTACAATCATAACAAAGAAAACGAGTCAACTATTTCAAGCATGTGTTCGTGCAGGCGTCGTTTTACACTGCGCGTCTATGTCTTTGTGTGCGTAAACAATACGGAATAATGATACCAGCTACTACAAAGTCTCCCATAAATAACATTAAAAATAGAATAAATAAAAAACTTTATGGTTGTATGTATGTATGTACCTAGTGTTATTCAGTTTTAGTGTATTTTTATATTTAAGTTGTTGCTGTTTTAAATAAATTAAAGACACTTATTTAATTAAAATTGGGTGGTAGAATGTTGTAATTAAATCAATTAGGTAAATTATACAAGTATTACAATATTTGTATAAATCGGGACTTATTCGCAATATTATACTTATTACTAAAATGGTACAATACCTTTTTCTTTACCCGACGTGACGTTTCGGTCGAATTGCACTGACCGTGGTGACGGGTGGACTCACCCGAAACGTCGGGCGAATAAAGCGTCGGGGAAAAGGTGTCGCAATAATATTTATATATATCGTTTCAAAAATATGAGGTAATAAAGAATATTACGCTCATACATATACACGACTAGTTGTTTCCCACGGTTCTACTCGCATCGCGCACCCGTATAAAAAGTAGCCTGTATGTTATTCTGATGTATAAGCTATATTACTGCCAAGTTTCATCAAAATCGGTTCAGTAGTTTTTGCGTGAAGGAGAAACAAACAAACATACAAACTTTCGCATTTATTATTATAGTAGGATATACGCGAGAAAAAAAAACATAACTCTTCTTGGATGTCGGGTAATAAAGAAAAGTCTGTTCAGAAGTTATTATATAATTTATCGCCTTATCTCCGACATTATTAGGCCTAAAATTAAGAAAATATACTACAGATAATATGTACCCATAGATTCTAGGAAAATATACGATTTAAAAAGTGATATTTAAAAAAATGTTTTTGTTGGGAACCCTTTGCGTGTCCGTTACCCAGGCCAGATGTTGTCGACAATGGTCATTTGAATCTTATAGATAATTAGTTGTGCGGCTTCTGTAATTGTTGCGCACACTTTTAAATTTGTTGCGCTTATAGTTTTTTAATTATTTCACAAAAACATTTCCTGCTGGCGTAACGTTACCACAGCCAGACCTTTTTCTTTCTAATGGGAATATTTAAATAAATATTAGCTATAAAATTAGTTGTCTAGATAAAGTAAATGTTGTGCCTTATTTTGTATTTGTTCTTTCTTCGGTTGCGAAGTTATTCGAGATTTTGCTTCGGTAACGTTTTTGGTTTTGCTAGATCTTTGAAATGGTTAAGCGGATTCTTATCATATTTTGTACACGACTACCGAGGACTTAGTTTAAATTTGTTGTGCAATAACAAAACCAAAATAATGCATATTTTAAAGGTTTTTTCATTAAATAGAAAAACACTTCAATTGGCCCCAGCACTCTCAATAAGAAGTCTAAAGACTTACTTTAAACGTAATTTTAAAGCTTGTAACTGCCTTCAAATGTATGTGAAGTTTCATTAGTATCCCGTAAGTATTTAACAAGTTATGATGATATTCAGTTCTTCACGAGCACGGTCCTAATGCACGCGGTGTTATTTGGCCACTGGATTGGATATATGAAGTGAATGTTATGTCAATAATTAGTTGTTAAGATCAGTTGTATATCAGTAAAATTTCAGCTCAATACATTGGATAATTAATGAGATAATACTATGAAAGTCATTAGGAAGTGAATGACCGTGGTAAGCCGACCAAGTTTAGGTGGCTACGAAAAAGCGAAAACGCAGAACATTATGGTACCTTCTTAAATATATAGGATAGTGTTATAAATTTAGTACAGACATGTACAAAAGTTTAAAAAAAAACTACATGATTATTCAAGATTTTTTATTGAAAGGTAAAATAATCATTTCAATTGAACTTTTACTCCCTTACTTATAAAAACTTGTGTTGCTTAGCAACCGATTAAACATCACCCGTCCTTGTCATTTCTATTTCAAAATGCAGTTCAAAAATCATCTAAAAGGTTACAAAAGTAACCTTCTGGCAAGACTGAGTGCGTTATGCAAACAATGTATTACCCCTTCACCCCACTCCTCCTGCGTCCAACCGAACGGCATGCTCTAGCGGTGATTTTTGATAATTTTGTGGAACTGGAAGATAATGTTTTTTTTTTATGTTATTATTATATAGGTATTTAACAGTGTACGCGTCTGTACCAAAATTGTAAGGTGTATTATACTAAACATTTCAAAAGATAGTACAATGTTCTGCGTTTTCGCTTTTTCGTAACCACCTAAACTTGGTCGGCTTACCACGGTCATTCACTTCCTAATGACTTTCATAGTATTATCTCATTAATTATCTAATGTATTGAGCTGAAATTTTACTGATATACAACTGATCTAAACAACTAATTATTGACATAACATTCAGTTCATATATCCAATCCAGTGGCCAAATAACACCGCGTGCATTAAGACCGTGCTCGTGAAGAACTGAATATCATCATAACTTGTTAAATACTTACGGGATACTAATGAAACTTCACATACATTTGAAGGCAGTTACAAGCTTTAAAATTACGTTTAAAGTAAGTCTTTAGACTTCTTATTGAGAGTGCTGGGGCCAATTGAAGTGTTTTTCTATTTAATGAAAAAACCTTTAAAATATGCATTATTTTGGTTTTGTTATTGCACAACAAATTTAAACTAAGTCCTCGGCAGTCGTGTACAAAATATGATAAGAATCCGCTTAACCATTTCAAAGATCTATCAAAACCAAAAACGTTACCGCAGCAAAATCTCGAATAACTTCGCAACCAAAGAAAGAACAAATACAAAATAAGGCACAACATTTACTTTATCTAGACAACTAATTTTATAGCTAATATTTATTTAAATATTCCCATTAGAAAGAAAAAGGTCTGGCTGTGGTAACGTTACGCCAGCAGGAAATGTTTTTGTGAAATAATTAAAAAACTATAAGCGCAACAAATTTAAAAATGTGCGCAACAATTACAGAAGCCGCACAACTAATTATCTATAAGATTCAAATGACCATTGTCGACAACATCTGGCCTGGGTAACGGACACACCCTTTGCACTCGAGTTCAATTTGCATTTGACCAGTAAAACTTTAAAAAGTACATGAACGAAATTGTGTAGACGTAACCAAAAACAAACTAATATTTACCCACAAAAATGCCGTTAAGTTGGGAGAATGAAAAACAGAAACTGGCAACACTGATAAGACGAAAAAATATGGCGTCATTTGGTAAGCATTAAAACAAAAATTAAATATATGTAATTTTCTTGGCTACTTACCTTTATAATTCTGGCACACTTTTATAGAACATACCGTCATTTTATCGCTGGTATTAGTTTTTTTCTTAGCGCGCGTCATGCGTAGTGACAATAGAGCGACACGATATGTACTGATCGGCGGGTAAGCAACTGTCGGCCAACAGTTGGCCGACACTTTTTGACACGTTTGCGCGCACTTGACGCTCTATCTAGACATATTAATAATCAAAGAGGCTTACCATTATTATTGAAAGATTTCGAATCCTAAGAAAAGAACAATATAGATATCAAAATAATTAATCGACAACCATGGCGGCATTTAATTTGATAAACCAAGCTTCTAAAAATATTGACTGCATAATTCCAAACAACTGTTATTTTCTTTGATATGTCTAAGGCCTTTGATTTTGGTTCTCATGACTTAATCCTGAAAATATGAGAAAAATATGGACTACGCGGCAAAGCAAATGGACGGATAAAAAGTTTCTTACAAAACGATCACAATTTGTAGAAATCAACGTAGATAAAACTAAACAAAGCAAACTTGCATATAAATCTAACTTGGGTCACAAAAAATACACAGGCGTTCCTCAGGGAAGTATTTTAGGTCCTCTACTATTCCTATTATACATTAATGACCTAAATAGAACTCACAAATTATCCTTGCATACTTTTCGCAGAAGATGTGTCAGTCATAATATCAAAGAATAAAGAAAATTACAACCAAGAAATAAATATCACTGTCAACAAAGTCATGAGATAGTTGAATGGAGAATAATAACTTAAAACCTAATATAACAATGAGTTTCCTCTGATTTTAATCAGCATGAAACTCTCTTTCTACAACTTTGATAATTGTAGGTTTTTAGTTTTTGAGAAAATCGAATTAGAGTGTCTAGGTAGGTAGCGAGTGGCTCGATTTATTTGCTGTCCAGTGTATATTCTTAACCATATCAAAAACTGTCATTGTTAAAATGTATTTATCCATATGTTCCCAGGTTCGACCTCGTCCGTTCAAATGCAATCAATGCGGCAAATCGTTCCTCACACAACAAAATCTCAATCAACATGAAAAGACTCATTCCGGGATCAAAGATTTCATCTGTAATATATGCAGTAAGTACTTTTACTAGCCCTACTGTTATATACACCTGAAGGTTAGCTATCGGCGCCGCCCATGGACACCCGCAACGCCAGAGGAGTTACGAACGTGTCGCCGTCCTTTTGGAGATTGGGGGAGAGACAGGACTGGGCCTCCGGTAACCTCACTCACACGGCGAAACAACGCTGTAGTTGTTTCACGCCGGTTTTCTGTGAGGCCGTTTTATCACTCCGGTGGAGCCGACCCATTCGTGCCGTGCCAAGCTTGACTTTAACACACTCCATCCAAACATTAAAAATATTCCCTCCGCTTCCAGACAAAGCATTCAGTACTCAGCACAACCTGGAAGTGCACGGCGTGGTCCACTCGGGGAACAAGGCCTTCGTCTGCACCGACTGTGGGAAGGCCTTCGCGCGCAGGGCAGAGCTCAGGGACCATATACGGATACATACTGGTATGGAAACAAGATTTTACTTCTAAACTACAAAAGAGATTGGAGTTCCTAGTTGATAAAACTCCCACAATTTTTCATTTCATTGGGTCGGGTAGTTTTTGAGTGAGAAAGCGATGTCCCTGTCGGAACTATAGATATTAGATATAGGGACCCCCCCCCTTGTTGCAGGCGAGCGTCCGTTCTCGTGCGAGGAGTGCGGCGCGAGGTTCACTCAGCGCTCGAACCTGCACTCCCACCGCCGCGCCACGCACTACAACGACACCAGGCACCACTGTACCCTCTGTCCCAAGAAGTTCAAGCGGAGGAGGTGCGTACTCACTCACTTACTTAATTCACCACCGCCACTCTACACGCGGGTGTGATATACACAACCCACCAATAGACCAGCTACGTACTGGTTACTCAGCAGATATTGCGATTGTCCATGGGTGGAGCCAATGATATAAGTAAAATGGTGTAGATAGGTTTACTAAAACAAATTCGATTTTCAAAAACGGCACACATGAACAATTCGTATGTTTAGACGTCAAAGTGAGATGGCATGATTCAATAATCGCGAGTGAAAAAGAGACAAATATGAAAAGTGTGGCTAGTTAGCCACATTTTAATATATCCCTTGCTGAGCGCTTGTGACCCACCTTTTTACTTATAATATCACTAGCTATTCTCGCGCGGTTTTACCCGCTGCTCGGCTCCATTGAATTGTAGCGTGATGTTTTATAGCCTATAGGACTCAGGAACATTGTAGCTATCTATCAGTGAAAGAATTTTGGCAATCCGACCAGTGGTTCCAAGGATTACCCCCTACATACAAACTTACAAACTTACAAGCATACAAACTTAAAAATTTTACCTCTTTATAATATTAGTATAGATTGGGTAGAGCCTATTGCTTACCATCAGGTAATCGGTCAGCTCGTTTGCAGACCTATCTCATAGAAAAACAAGTGAACTCTTGTGGTGATACCTAACAAGACGAAATTCTGTAGAAGAATCGTTTGCTGCATAAAGAAATATTTAGAAGCTGATGATGATGATATCTGGTCCCAGGTTACTAGAGTACCACATAAAGGCGACGCACACGGGCGAGCGTCCCCTGAAGTGCAACGTGTGCCAACTGTCCTTCGTGTACCCCGAGCATTACAAGAAACATGTCCGCATACACTCCGGGGAGAGGCCCTACGTCTGCGAGGTAACTATACTGTTATAGGGCTTCTTAAGGGGGGGAAAGATCTACAAGGTACTTCTGGGACCCTGGATAAGGCGTGAGGCATTGTCAGACTATTACTGACTTGAGTCACCGCGGCCTCGGCCTAGAGCAGGAGAAGGAACGGGGAGGGATTAGTCATTGAGGCACTCCTTGTCGCCCAACACAGTGGGAGAGAGGTCATTTGATTATCTTACTCCTCAAGAAAAAGGGTAAGCAAACAATGCTTCTCATATCATCAGAACACTAATAGATTAGCATTAGGCCTCCGATAACTTAAGCTGGATTTCTCTGAGGCTATGGTATCACTCTGAAGAAACCGATTTATTCGTACCAGACTATTCGCCGTTAAAACGTTTATCTAACGAAAGAACCTACTAATTCATAGACCAGGAGCTGAAACTGTGGTTTTTCACTCAGCAAGCGTTTTAGTTTGATGATTTTTCTCCCCTCACACAAAAATAGATTCGTACTGACTAAGTTTTACCTCATTCCTTCACCTGCTAACACAACGTGTTATGTAAAAAAAACTAAAACTATTCAAATTCAAATTCAAATTATTTATTTGTGGAACATAGGTACAGATAAGATTTAATTACAATGTTAGGATCGCTATGTACGTACTATAAATGACAATCCGTTCGCGTGAAATAGCGACTTCCTGCAGATTTTTAGTTAAAAAACTATCCTATATCCTTTCTCGAGTTCTAAACTATGTCTGTACCAAATTTCACACAAATCCGTTCAGTAGTTTAGGCGTGAAGTAAAGACAGACAGACAGACAGAGTTACTTTCGTATTTATAATATTAGTTTGGATTTTTAACAAAAATAATCTGACTTCAAAAAAAAATTAAAAAGCAAAAAGTAAATTATCTTTGTAGAAATTAATACATGTTTTCATTTAGTTAAATAGAAAATAATATTAATAACCATTTTATAATCTTTAATTCGGTGCCAAGTAAATCAAATATAGTGTAAAGATTACCTATATACCTATTGTTTGTTTGATGATTACCGATCAATATATTTTTCTAATACTGTTGTTGTTTCGTATGACTTTGATGATTCACTTGGCACCGACTTCAAGATTATAAAAAGGTTTTGAAAAATATTTTGAATTCTATTTAGAGTTTGGTTATTTCCCCAGATTTGCGGCAAATCGTTCAACTCTCGCGACAACCGAAACACGCACCGCTTCGTGCACAGCGACAAGAAACCTTACGAGTGCGTCGCCTGCGGGGCTGGGTACATGAGGAAACAACTGCTCTACGCCCATATGAATACCAGCGTAAGCCTTACAAAACTTGCATATACTACATAGCACTTTGTTATCTCGTAGGACGGCAACGACCTGATGGTAAGCAATCAGCGCCGCCCATGGACCGACGACGACGTCAGTCACGACTGCGTTGCCGACCTTTTGGGGATTAGGCCTCCGGTAACCTCAATTACACGGCGAAACACAACGCTGTGGTTGTTTCACGCCGGAATTCTGTGAGGCCGTGGTATCACTCCGGTCAAAAGTCAAAAGTCGGAAGCATGAGTCTCCCGCACTCAATATAAAAAATGGTATAAGAGTCACTTTCTGTGTTCCTATTGCCTATGTACGCTTAAATCTTCAAAACTGCGCAACAGATTTTGATGCGGATTTTTCAATGGAAAGTGTGATTGAAGAGGAAGGTTTATAATTATGTATAATAACATCCCTTAACTAGTGGGGAAATTTAGTATTACCATTGCTAAGCCGGGGCGGGTGGCTGGTACTACAATATCTGCAATACTTATGAACCTAGATCAACCCAGTTTTCAATGCAATTCACTTAGAAAGTTTTGGCCATTAGTCGTTTGAAATCTCATTACATAATCTGTTTTTATTTCCACAGGGTCACCTTGCGGAGTCCATCGTTGTCAATCAACCTAGAGTCATCAAAGTTACTGAAAATGTTCGTATATTTATAAATATTAACACGTTACTGAGGGTCAGGCTGCACTGTTGGCCCAGTGGCTTGACTATAGGCTGCTGTACAACGTGTCGGTAGCTCGATTCCCGCACGGAACAATTGGGTAGTTTCCTAGGTCAAAAATATTGAAAAATGACTATAATTTTATTCATTGGTCTGTCAGTACACAAAATTTTTGATATTTTTTAGCTAATTTTTAAGAAATATGTGCGCTAAAATACTATGACGATTTAATTTGGAGTTTTATACAAATTTCATGAAGAGTATTGAATTTGACTAGTTGGATACTACCGTATTTCTTGATGACATCCACAAATCGTTGCTCCGGGTCTGGGTGTGATGTGTATGTGACATTGTATGCTTGGAAACGCACCCACGACACCACAGAAACACCTAATGTGGAGTAACTGTTTCAAAACATAATTTTAATTTTGAAGTATGATTGTAGTTTTTAATTAAAGTACTTTTACTTTTCCCAGGGAACTAGTTCGCATGCAACGGATATAACTGACCTGGACACAAAAACCAGTAAATTCGATGCGGTAAGTTGGCATGGCAATAATTTGTTTGCGCTTTACAGGAACCAGTAAACGTGGTATAACTAGGAGTTGAATGAATGTCTCGGTGAAAATAATTGGAAATCACTAAAATGTAGAAAAACGTAACATAATATAATCTGACGAAGTTGACATTACGATTGGGCTTTGACAAAACGTTTTTTAGTCAGTAAGAGTCTGACACTCCCACCTCCCGACCCTAGGCGGGAGAAGTCATTTGATGATTTTTCCCCTCACAAAAAGGGTCTAATTAAAAAAAAGGCTTTTTTTTTACTAGTCTTTTCAAAAATAAATTATTTTGACTTATCCGTAATGCTATAAAATATTTTTTACAGATATTCGAGGCACAGACTGAATTGGAGGCTAGCATCAAGTCCGGTGAGTATTTTTGTTATTGCATCGGTCGGCTAACGAGCGTCCGTACTAACTGAAGGTAAGCAATCGGCCGTGGTACCCTACAGTATTCTCATCCTCACAGAATTACGGCGTGAAACAACGTCGTAGTTCGCCGTGTGACTGAGCTTACCGGAGGCCCTTCTGAGAATAACCCACAATAGTTCGGCAAACCACTTGTAGTAACTTCTATGGAGTATGAGTCTCCATAGGCGGCGCCGATTGCTTACCATCAGGTAACAAGGTTTGCCGACCTATCCCATCAAAAATATAATGCTAACTACCTATTTTACTATCCGTAATTAGTATTATAAAAACCTTTTTTTAATATTTTCAGTGAAATCAGAAGCTGACGTGAATTTAGAAGATGCCAAATTCTATATTACTGAAGATAAGAAATTAATATTGCAGGATAGTGGTGAGTTATAATGTTGTCAGTAATATATGACGGAGTCTGGAACTATGGCTCGTGTACTGTGCTAGTACAGCTTATACCAACGTCGTGGTGGCTCGGAGGTTAAGGCGCTTCTCATGCATGGGGTAAGGGAACGAACCCTGACAAGTACCAATGTGACATTTTCCGAGTTATATGTACTTGCTATGACTATTCAGGCACCACTGGTATACATACGGTGCAGGTAAACATCGTAGAGAAACCTGGACTTGTATAATTTCTAATTATAAGTTTGAAATCGCCGATCCGCCTTGAGCAAGGATGGTGATTAAAGCTCAAACCTTCTCCGTATGAGAAGAGGCCTTTGCTCAGCAGTAGACACTTTAGGCTGATGATGTGATACAGCGATATCCTTATTCTGGTCTCTCTAACTGCACAAAAGTCTCTCCATTGTAATGAAGTGTTTATCTCAGACTCAGAATCAGGTATGAAGGTTTATTTGTTTGATTTAATATTTTATTATGTTTCAGATAAAACGACATTGAATTTAATACAAGAAGGAGACGAGTCTACGCTTTTAACTATACGTAAGTCTTAACTGTATTATTTTAAGGTTGATTTTTCTTAATTTTTTCTGTTATAAAATTGATTACAATTCAATTTAAAAAAGTGAAAAGTGAGTGACTTATTGAAATCTATATTTGTTTAGAAGCTGTCAATGCTGACCAATTGTCTGAACAGACTGAAGTAAGTTTTATCCGTACAAACATGTAATACTAGTTACTGTCGCGCGGTTTCACCCGCTGCTTGTTTCTATTATTCTATATGAAGTTTCATAGTCCAAGTCTACAGACTATAAAACTTGAGGGTGTGGACCACTTTATTATAGACAATATTTCCGTTCTGGTACTAAATTTCTTCACTATTTAATAGATGCTAGTATACACATAAACCTTCCTCTTCAATCAATCAATCTATAAAAAACCGCCTCAAAATCTGTTGCGTAAAGATGTAAGCATACATAGGGATATAGGGACAGAGAAAGCGACTTTGTTTTATATTATGTACTTAGTGGTGGTAATGTCCTTCAACGTGTTCATATATTTCTATTTCAGATCGTAGCTAATGATGAGAATGGAGGCATGGTGCGACTGATCCAAATCAAATTACCTGACGGTAACAACGGATGGGTGGCAATCAATCGCTGAAACATTTCTGCCGGGCTAAGGACTCTGCCAAACACCGGTCAATGGGAACTGTTAATTTATATTTTAATGCCCGTCTTTACATACGTCTTTACGTCTACATAATCACATATTTTCGTCTATGTATTTGTCCTATCTAACTGACGGACTAAATAGATAGATATTTCATTTTAATATCCTGTTGTCCCCTAGTATAAGCCGAATTATAGACAAAAATATCTGTGCGTTAGTCTGTCTAAATCTCTAAAACGGCCGAACTGACATAGTTAAGGTTAGTTTTTAAATATACGTGGAACTCTAGGGAAGGTTTAAAGCAGTGAGAAATTATGAAAATGTGAGTCAAATAATAAAAACGCGTGTTACCACGCCGTCGCTGTACGCCAGCGTGATACAACCTCAGCGTTGTGTTTTGCCTTATGATTGATGTTACTAGAGGCCCCAATCCTTCCCCTCCCCCCATCCCCAATCCTCAAATCCCTACCACAAAAAGCCGGCAACGCACTTGTATGTGTCTACCTTGGTCATATTCGGCGTAGATTGCTTACCATCAGGTATTCCGTCTGCTCGTTTGCCGACCTATACTATAAAAAATACTTTTTTGCATAAGTTATCTATGCTGTTATATATTATATTTATAAATCAATTGGAACCTTTTTAAGGGGGCGAAATCATCTTAACTCCTCCCCGCCCGGGGTGGGGTAAGAGGGAGTGTCAGACTCTTACTGACTAAAAACCATCTCACCCTGGGTGGGAGAAGTGATTTAATAATTTTTCAATAGAAAGATTATTGAAACTGATTGAAAAATCAATTCAATGGGTCTGTTCTTGTGCTCTTCAATGGCGCTAGACTAGCCAGGGATTGGTCCAAACACTAGTTCACAGAAGAAATCGTATAACAATAGCTGATTCTCTATTGGGCGAATTAAAGACAGCGCCATCTGTTGAGCAAAAAATACAGTAGCAGCCAAACCCGTTATGGGCCTATTCTGGTCTATCTATTTAGTAATTAACTAAATGTAAACAATGTTAGCATGGCTTTTTATCTAAACGTTGTTTGTAGAAATATTTACAATCAGGTATTTACCTAACTGGATGCTAGTTATAAACTAAATTTAAATAATCTTTGTATGTATTTTGTACGAGCTCTTTAATAGAAAAAGACATACCGACATTGTTTACTTTTAGTAAACCATCTAAACTGATAGACCATAGGTTTTTTAAATCAAGTAATTATTAATGCGGTAGGTTCCAACTAGTTAAATTCAATACTTTTATACAAATATAAAAAACGGTACTTTTCTATGAAATTTTTAGGGAGAACTGAGTTATGACGTCATAGTTTTTTTTGCGTCAAATAGTTTACTTATTTCTTAAACATTTGCTAAAAAATATCTAAAATTCAGAGTATCGATCGATCGATGAATAAAAGTATAGTTATTTTTCAATATTTTATTGTATTGAAACGTCGAATTAATTTATTTTGACCTAAGAAACCACCCAATTATTTTTGTCTATCATGTATCAATATTAATCTTATACTGATAGTTTTACTTTAAATTTGACTAATTTTGCTGTTAACTAAATGATGCGATCATGGATCCGATGCCCGAATCTGGCAAAAATATCCAAAATTCAATGTTTATATAAGTAAGAGGCGTATTTTCATGCCCGATGTAAATTAATAATCGCTTTGCCCGAACGGGAATCGAACCCATGATCATGTGGCATTCACCTAGTCTTGTATAAATATAGACAATATGTTAATGTAAGTAGGTAGCGAAAAATGAAATAATGTTTTAAATTATATTATGGGAGTCGCATAGCGATTGCATTGTTATTAGGAGTAAATATTTTATAACAAAGATATGTATTGCAACGTATACGGCCTTATTACAAAACAAGGTTTTACTTTAGTCAAGGACTAAACCATTGAATCAGTTTTCGTATTTCGATTTGAAGGCAAATGACAATAAGATTCAAAATTCAAAACCCGACTCAATGGTTTAAACCTGGACTAAAGATAAACCTTGCTTTGTAATAAGGGGAATAATGTTTATATGGAATAAAACAGTTTTTAGTGGCACTTGGTTATTTCATGCTTCCTCTAAAGGCCTGCTAGCTTTCCCCCAGGGCTTCGTCCGCATGGTATGTTGATAAAAAGTAGCCTATGTGCTAATCCACGGTATCACCAACTTACATACCAAATTGCAACTAGATCGCTCCAGTCGTTTTTGCGTGGAATAATATCAAACATCGATACATTCTCACGAACTTTCACGTTTTTATAATATAATTAGGAAGGCCGGCCGCTCTAGGACTTGCGGCGGTACTCACCGCTTAGCCTTTCATTGTAAAATTAAAAAGTCAAAAAGTAAATCAAATCAAATCAAAATCATTTATTCCAACTAAACCATAAATAGGTACTTTTGAAACGTCAAAATAGAATAGTAGTCTGTCAATCTGTTCATCAGTGAAGCTAGGTGCTCGTTCCAAATTGTAAATACGGACTCTTGTATTCATAAAATACATAATTCTGTCCTAGCCCGAAATATTCAAAAAGTCTCTCTAGTCGGATTTCATAATGAAGAGGCAATTTTTCCATTTTCCAACATATTTGTCTTTGACTAGACGAACAGGTTTATTTAGCTCATGGCGGGCTCAAAAAGTAACGATAATTGTGAAACTTACAAAAATGCATATTATATCTCTGTCTGTTTTCACTTATGAAAAGCATGTTTCACAAAATAAATTAAGCGTATTTTTTTCTAATACCTAATCAAAGTAATTAACCATGAATCACCATACCCATCAAATCACAATATCCACCAAATCACCATATCCACTAAATCACCATATCCACCAAATCACCATAAATGCATATTTGCCAACGCATTTATTGATGCCCTATTTGAAGAAATCAGCTAGACGGGAGGCAACACATTCTTCAAAGGCATTTTCATTGTCTGTCAGGTAGGTATTGAATTATTTTCCCGACTAGAAATTAATACAATTTCGCAGAAAGTAAAAGTCTGTTGGCGCTAGATCTGGTGAGTAGGTACGGTGGAGAACTTCTCCCCAGCTCTTGTAGCTTAGAGACCGTCTGATGTGCAGTATTATGAGCCGAAGGATTGACCGAAGCTGGTTGGAGACTTGCGAGCTTCACCATCGTTGTGTTCAGTTCTTCACAGATTCTGGAGTAATGTTTGTGTTTTTGGTTAAAAGCTGAGATGCTTTACACACTGTAAGGATGGAAGAAACGAAAGATGTTGTACATGAATACAGACTGTCATTTATTCAGAGAGCACTACATTATAGGTATACAATTTCAAGTTTCATACGTAGTGTAGTGTATAGTTTTATAAGTAGTATTACATTCATAAATGTAACATAGTAGATGTAGATGTAGATGCTTCATACGGTAGAACACTAAGAAAAAAGAACATTTATAGCATTTTTTGGATCCTGAACCAGGGCCCTACCAACTTGCCGAGCACATACGATCGTCAAACAGGATCCATTACTCGCCACAAGTAACGATGGGGTTCAGAATTTCTTGCAAGAAGATGCCTTGCGTGCCTTGCAGTTCGCAAGGCACGTCTTGAGGTGCACAGCGCGTTGAGGTGTAGGAGGGACGGCGGGGTCGCGGGGTCGGTGGGGGCGCGGGCCGGGGGCCGGGCACCGCTGCGGCACGTGCGGGAAGTGCTTCAGTAGCCGCAGCCTGCTGGCGGAGCACCACAACGTGCACTCGGGGGCGCGGCCCTACCGCTGCACACTCTGCCACAAGGCCTTCGCCTCCAAGTACACGCACCAGGCACATCTCAAGACACATGCGGTCAGTAAGAGAGCAGTGCTTCTAATAAGTTTCACGAAACACTTGTATCGTTCTTCAGCCTATGTTTACCTAAAACTAGAATCAAAGTTAACCTTACTCAAAAGTATACAAAATGGATTTCTAAGAGACTTGTAAACACAATAAAAAATAAAAGAAATCTACGATTTAAATAAATTTAAATACTACTCTAAACCTAAAAGATTAGATGAGACATAAAATCCCTAAAAGATTCCACAGGCTATGATCAAAAAGTATGACCACTATAATCATAAAATTCATATATCCCAACTCTCGTAGATCTAATTAATTTATCACTATCAACAGGCGTGGATAACAAGATATCAGTAATTCAACCAATTAAAAGAAAAGGAAACAAAAAATATTGACAATTATATACCAAAATTGTTTTGCTAGTTATACTCGCAAATATTTACGGAAAAAATTGCATTCCAGGCTTACCACTTTTATTGAACGATTTCATATCCTAAGAAAAGAACAATATAGATATCAAAATAATTAGTCGACAACCATGGCGGCATTTAATTTGATAAACCAAGCTTCTAAAAATATTTACTGCATAATTCCAAACAACTGTTATTTTCTTTGATATGTCTAAGGCCTTTGATTTTGTTTCTCATGACTTAATCCTGAAAATATGAGAAAAATATGGACTACGCGGCAAATCAAATGGACGGATAAAAAGTTATCTTCCAAAACGATCACAATTTGTAGAAATCAACGTAGATAAAACTAAACAAAACGCGAAGTTGTATATAAATCTAACTTGGGTCACAAAAAATACACAGGCGTTGCTCAGGGACGTATTTTAGGTCCTCTACTATTCCTTTTATATGTTATAGTTCGGCCGTTCAGAGAATGCGTTCCTGACACCTATCAGTTAGTCACGACTAGTGATGGGCACAACATAACACTGAGTTCGTTACCGTTCCGCCAAAATGAAGCCGCGTTATTATTAAGATTATTTTCGTTTTAAATTTTCGAAATCATTTAAAATTTATATTTTAGTAATTTAAGTGGAAACCAAAAAAGGTAATATTAATATAATAAAATTGTTTTATTTATTCTTTGTTACAAAGTTAAAATCTGTATTTCTATGCAATAAAGTACATTGGATTGAACGTACGTACAGAATATTAATCAGACTCCGATTCGCTTGAGGAGGTGGTGTCTTCATCATCATCTTCGCCTACATGTATATTTATATTATTATCAATTACAGAATCAATCCTGATATCTCGGTCAAAATGTTCCATAACCAATTTTTCAATTATTAAAATGAAAAACAAAACGTATTATTTTATTAAGTATAACTGTATAAGAACAGATTACGATACTGTTATTGCCTGTTATTGTTAGCACAGCACTACAAATATAAAGCGCTGACATAACCTTGTAATAGCGCAGTATAGATTTAGAAAAATATTGTTTGCCAAGTTATTTGACACTCAGTTTGGCACAAAATTATAAAATTTTGTGTATTTATATAATAATGTTGTTTTAATGCTCATCAATTGTTAAAACGGTAAACAACGCGCAAAAATATTTTTATCGTAACTGCAACGCCATTACAAAGTTACGTCGTCAGCTCAATCGCGACGTGTCAGGAACGCATTCTCTGAACGGCCGAACTATAATGACCTAAATTGAAGTTACAAATTATCTTTGCATACTTTTTGCAGATGATATTTATGTCAGTCATAATATCAAAGAATAAAGAAAATTACAACCAAGAAATAAATATCACTGTCAACAAAGTCATGAGATAGTTGAATGGAGAATAATAACTTAAAACCGAATATAACAATGAGTTTCCTTTGATTTTAATCAGCATGAAACGCACTTTCTGTAGGTACAACTTTGATAATTGTAGTTTTTTAGTTTTTGAGAAAATCGATTTAGAGTCTGCTATCCAGTGTATATTCTTAACCATCCATATGTTCCCAGGTTCGACCCCGTCCGTTCAAATGCAATCAATGCGGCAAATCGTTCCTCACACAACAAAATCTCAATCAACATGAAAAGACTCATTCCGGGATCAAAGATTTCATCTGTAATATATGCAGTAAGTACTTTTACTAGCCCTACTGTTATATACACCTGAAGGTTAGCAATCGGCGCCGCCCATGGACACCCGCAACGCCAGAGGAGTTAAGAACGTGTTGCCTTCCTTTAAGGGTTTGGGGGAGGGGAAGACCTGGACCTCCGGTAACCTCACTCACACGGCGAAACACAGCGCTGTGGTTGTTTCACGGCGATTTTCTGTGAGGCTTCATTGGTATTCACCATACCCGAGGGAAATGTGGGAGAGCCATGCTGCGGCACGAATGGCTCGGCTCGCCCGGAGTGATACCACGGCCTCACAGAAAACTGGCGTGAAACAACCACAGCGCTGTATTTCGTCGTGTGAGTGAGGTTACCGGAGACCCATACCTTTCCCCCTCCCCCCATCCCTTCCCAATCCTTAAATATCGGAAAACTTTATCCCTAAAACGTCGGCAATGCACTCGTAACTCCTTTGGTGTTGCGGTTGTCCATGGGCGGATTTCTTACCACTAGATAATCCGTCTGTTTGTTTGCCGACATATGTATGTCATAAAAAGTCATAAAATAGCATTCACATTAACATTAAAGAAGATGACTGGCATTGTAGACGAGATTAGTCATGAATTGCAGCGTTTTTCTATGAATTCGTGACTTTAAAACACACTCCATCCAAAACATTAAAAATATTCCCTCCGCTTCCAGACAAAGCATTCAGTACTCAGCACAACCTGGAAGTGCACGGCGTGGTCCACTCGGGGAACAAGGCCTTCGTCTGCACCGACTGTGGGAAGGCCTTCGCGCGCAGGGCAGAGCTCAGGGACCATATGCGGATACATACTGGTATGGAAACAGGATTTTACTTCTAAACTACAAAAGAGATTGGAGTTCCTAGTTGATAAAACTCCAACTATTTTTCATTTCATTGGGTCGGGTAGTTTTTGAGTGAGAAAGCGATGTCCCTGTCGGAACTATAGATATAGGGACCCCCCCCTTGTTGCAGGCGAGCGTCCGTTCTCGTGCGAGGAGTGCGGCGCGAGGTTCACTCAGCGCTCGAACCTGCACTCCCACCGCCGCGCCACGCACTACAACGACACCAGGCACCACTGTACCCTCTGTCCCAAGAAGTTCAAGCGGAGGAGGTGCGTACTTACTCACTAACTTAATTAACCACCGCCACTCTACACGCGGGTGTGATATACCCTCCTATAGTAAAATGGTGTAGATAATATATGTGTGTAGATAATATATATGGTGTAGATAATTCTGAAGAAGGATCGTTTGCTGCTGATGATGATGATATCTGGTCCCAGGTTACTAGAGTACCACATAAAGGCGACGCACACGGGCGAGCGTCCCCTGAAGTGCAACGTGTGCCAACTGTCCTTCGTGTACCCCGAGCATTACAAGAAACATGTCCGCATACACTCCGGGGAGAGGCCCTACGTCTGCGAGGTAACTATACTGTTATAGGGCTTGTTAGGGGGGGGAAAGATCTACAAGGTACTTCTGGGACCCTGGATAGGGCGAGAGGGAGTGTCAGACTCTTACTGACTTAGGTCACCGCGGCCTCGGCCTAGAGCAAGAGAAGGAACTGGGGGGGTTAGTCATTGAGGCCCTCCTTGTCGCCCAACAGAGTGGGAGAGAGGTCTTTTGATTATCTTACTCCTCCAGAAAAAGGGTAAGCAAACAATGCTTCTCATATCATCAGAACACTAATAGATTAGCATTAGGCCTTCGATAACCTAAGCTGGATTTCTTTGAGGCTATGGTATCACTCTGGAGAAACCGATTTATTCGTACCAGACTATTCGCCGTTAAAACGTTTATCTAACGAAAGAACCTACTAATTCATAGACCAGGAGCTGAAACTGTGTTTTTTCACTCAGCAAGCGTTTTAGTTTGATGATTTTTCTCCCCTCACACAAAAATAGATTCGTACTGACTAAGTTTTATTTAGTACTGATTAAGTTTTCATTCCGTCTCCTGCTAAGACAACGTGTGATATAAAAAAAACTAAAACTATAAATGGCATATAAAATAATTATTATATCGTGATGGCCCGAAGGTTAAGGCGCCCGCTTCTCGCGCATATGGAGCTGAGTTTGAAACCTGACAAGCACCAATGTGACTTTTTCCGTGTCATATGTTGATTCTTTGGTTATTTAGACACTTCTGACAAACGGTGAAGGAAAACATCGTGAGGAAACCTGGACTTAGGTACAAATTACTTATTAAAAGTTTGTCGCTAATCCGCCTTGAGTAAAACAAAGTTCAAACTCTATCCGTGTGAGAAGAGGCCTTTGCTCAGCAGTGGGCACTTAAAGGCTGATGATGTGTTTATAAATATTGTGACAGAAAACTCTTTGACATCATGACGTCAATGGATGGTTGTCAAACGTTGCCTAGAGATTGTAAATTTCGTCGTGAATTGTCAATACGAGTTGGTGTAATTGGTAAGGCGTGTGGATTACACTACAGAGACCCCGAGTTCGAGTCCCGCCGTAAACATGAAGTTTTTTAGTTGATGGAAGTTTTGTCGAACTTTCTGGAATTATTTGTGTGAAAGAGATGAAAAATTAAAGAGTGAGAAGGAGAATAAATAAAAATGAATAGCGAAATTATTGGAAGGTTCTGGAGGCATGACGATCAAAAAGAATAACGAAATTGAATGTTCCAGAACCTGACCGGGGGTATATAAGCAGAACTGCGGCTCACCCCTGGCAGTTGAGTTCTAAGTCTAAAGCGATTCGGAAGAAAAGGAAGAAGTAAAAAAGAAGAAAAGTGAGTGAAATAGTGAAGTGCAGTGAAATAGTGAAGTGCAGTCACTTAAGTGAGTTAAGTCAGTGTGAACGGCAAAGTTGTGTCAGTCGGCCGGACTCTGCTGGAGAGGAACGCCGATAACTTAACTCCGTGGACGCTGTAACTTAAGTGCAATAGAAAGTCTGAAAACCGGCATTAGTGTTTCATTTCATCCAATCCCGTAACTCAAGCCCGCATTGTCAGGAACGTGACGTCAGGCTCGTAACATTTGGTGTCAGAAGTGGGATTGGAGAAAAATGCCGCTAGTGCCGCAGGACGTAAGAGGAGTGAGTACCCGTTCAATGTCAGAAGCGCAGCGTGTGAGGGAAGAGGGTGCTGCAGCTCGAACCAGCGATGCAGAAGCCAAGCCTGTGCAGGTGGATCTTCTGCTACAGCTGCAGCAAATGATGGCAGAGCAAGCGCGCCGCCAAGAAGAGCAAGCGCGCCGCCAAGAAGAGCAAGCGCGCCGCCAAGAAGAGCAAGCGCGCTGTCAGGCAGAACAGCTGCGGGAGCTTAAAGAAGAGCAAGCGCGCCGCCAAGAAGAGCAAGCGCGCCGCCAAGAAGAGCAAGCACGCTGTCAGGCAGAACAGCTTCGGGAGCTGAAAGAAGATCAAGCTCGTCGCCAAGAGGATCAAGCTCGCCGCCAAGAGGAGCAAGCGCGTCGCTTGGAAGAGATGCATAAGGATTTCACGAAGGGACTGCAAAAGGCTGTCGAACGGGTACAAGAAGTGGAGGAAGGGTTAGGCAAGTTGGAACATCGCGTCAAGGCGATAGAGGAGAGAGTGGAAGAAGAGATCTCCAAAATCAAGCAGGAAGTGACAAGCCTAAGCCCTTTGAAGAGCCGAAGCCGTCTTGCAGCCGTTTTTGAAGCCCCGAATGCGGCTTCAAGTGCAACGAAAGGGCTTAAGATTCCCCATTACGACGGAACAACATCCTGGACCGCGTTCAAGCTACAGTTTGAGACACTTATGGAGGCTTATGGTTGGACTCAGAAGGAAGCACAGTCAGCCCTTATCCTGGCCCTCCGTGATCAAGCGCTCTCAGTGCTGGAAGCTATCGGCGCAAGTGGGGATCTCAGCTTTAGTGCCCTCCTCGACGCACTTGAGGCACGTTTTGGAGACAGCCACCTCGAGCACGTGTACAGAGCGCAATTAAAAGAGCGTACTCAGCGTGCTAATGAGGGCCTACAGCAATGGTCCGTGGAAATCGAGAAACTTGTGCGTCGAGCTTTCCGGTCGACTCCGTCAATGATTGAAGGCACGCTTCTCCAAGCGTTCATTGACGGTATTCGGGACCCCGAAGTACGAGCCGCTGTTCATCTGGGCCATCACAAAAACATGAAAGAAGCTCTGGCCCATGCATTGGAAGTGGAAGCCGTGCGTGGTAACTCCCGTACCTTACGTCTGCGGGAAATGACGACAACGGAGCAGGTACCTCCACGCCGTCGGAACTTCATGTGCTATGGATGTGGAGAGCGTGGGCACATACGGAGCGACTGCCCGAAGAAGAGGAACCGCCAGGACGCGGCGGTCTCAACTTCTGACCAGCAGGGAAACTTAAATCCAGCCAGGGCTGCGGGGTGGGCGCTGGCTGGTAGTGGAACAACCCCAACAATCTACATCAAGCAAACCAACGATGGAAATACTCTGGTGATAGACGGTCAAGTAAATGGGAAAAACAGTCAGCTAACATTAGATACTGGAGCTTCAAGGACGGTGATAAATGTTCGGCTGCTCGAGCAAAACATCAGGAAACACCTTAAACCAATTGTTGGCCTACAAATGAAATCAGCTACCGGCCAGTGCATACCGATAAGTGGAAAACTGCATGTAACAATCAAAATTGGGGAACGTGTTTATCGACATGAGGTTATTGTGGCCAAAATTCTGGATGACTGCATCCTGGGACTTGACTTCCTGCAAGGGCACCAGTGTAACATCGACTTAAAATCTGGAGTTTTACTATGTGGAACTGAGGAAATTCCGATGAAGGGTGGAACCCTGGGAAAAGTTTGCTGTTTAAAAAGAACTGTTCTTGCACCAAAATCACAGACTCTCGTACCAATCGCATTACCTAGGAGGAAGGAAGGAAGTTTACCTCGAAGGTGCGCTGTGATTGATAAATCGGAACACGTAAGCTCATGGCTACCGGCAAGAACTGTCGTGGGGTCATCTGATGTCAACCGCATTCCGGTATTCAACTTCAGTGATTCAAAAATTACGATTGAAGAAGGAGAGCCTGTGGGCGTATTGGAAGAAGTGGCCTGGATAAGAAAATGCTCGGAGAATCTTGTGAAGAAGGACAGTACGGGAATTGACTTTGTTACGAAAATCTTAGACGAAAACAAAAGTCTGACAAAAGTGGAGACTATGAAAGCTAGAAATTTACTTCTTCGATTCTCTGATGTGTTTTCAAGAAGCGATGGTGATATTGGCCGAACTGGTTTGGTGAAGCATAAAATAAACACAGGTGATACAATGCCAATTCGTCAAAGGCCCAGACGCATACCATTCGCTCGTGAGAAAGAGGTTGAAGAAATGATTGACGATATGAGGAAAAATGACGTGATAGAGCCCTCTTCTAGCCCTTGGTGTTCACCTGTCGTGCTTGTCAAGAAGAAAGATGGTTCAACGAGGTTTTGCGTAGACTATCGACGATTGAATGATGTAACCAAGAAGGATAGCTACCCGTTACCAAGAATCGATGACACACTTGACACATTGAGTGGCATGAAATGGTTTTCAACGCTCGATCTGAAAAGCGGCTATTGGCAGGTGGATTTGGATCCCAAGGACAAGGAAAAGACCGCATTCTCAACTGGGAAGGGACTCTGGCAATTTAAGGTGATGCCATTTGGATTATGCAATGCACCGGCAACTTTTGAGCGTTTGATGGAACAGGTGCTGGCGGGACTGCTGGGCGAAACCTGCCTAGTTTACCTCGATGACATCATCATTGTTGGACGGGATTTTGACGATCATCTAAGGAAATTGGAAAAGGTACTCGACAAGCTGCGTGGAGCAAATTTAAAGTTGAGTCCAAAGAAATGCTCTTTCTTCAAGCGCGAAGTGAATTATCTAGGTCATGTTATTTCTGAGAGAGGAATTGAGACTGATCCAGCCAAGACTGTCGCTGTCAAGGAATGGCCAACACCTAAAGACAAAACGCAAGTTCGGGCATTTCTTGGATTGTGCTCGTATTATCGGCGGTTTGTGAAAGGATTCTCGGACATTGCCAAGCCATTGCATCGATTGACAGAGGATAAACGTGCCTTTGTTTGGGACGAGGATTGTGAGCAAGCCTTTCGAGAACTAAAAGAACGGCTTTGTAACACACCAATTCTCGGATATCCCAGCGCGAAAGGAATATTCGTAGTTGATACGGATGCCAGCAATATTGGAATAGGAGGTGTCCTTTCACAACGCGATGGTGAGCAGGAGAAGGTTATTGCTTACTTCAGCAAGTCACTATCCAAGCCAGAGAGGAATTATTGCGTGACCAGGAGGGAATTGCTGGCCGTAGTCAAAACCCTGCACCATTTCAAGAAGTATTTACTGGGACGGAAATTTTTGATCAGAACTGATCACGCTGCTTTGAAATGGCTGCTTCAGTTTAAGGATCCCGAAGGCCAAGTAGCCAGATGGCTGGAACAACTTCAGGAATTTGACTTTGAAATCGAACATCGCGGCGGAAGAATTCATGGCAACGCAGATGCATTATCGAGACGCCCATGCGTGGAAGATTGCAAACATTGTGCTAAGAAGGAAACTGCTTTTCTTAAGGTGATAAGGACTGATACTGTTGACGAGGTATGGGGAAATGATGCGATGAAATTAGAACAGGAAAGAGATGCAGATATTAAACCAATACTGGAGTGGCTACGAAGTGGTAACAAGCCAAGTTGGAGTGACGTCGCCCAATATAGCGCGGTAACGAAAGGTTTATGGGCACAGTGGAAAAGCCTTACGCTGCATAACGGACTTCTGTGCAGGAAATGGGAATCAACAAACGGCAAGGACGAGCATTTGCAATTGGTGGTGCCTCGTTCAAAAATAAGGGATGTATTAAAAGCGTTCCATGATGGATCTTCTGGAGGGCATTTGGGAATTAGGAGGACTTTGGTGAAGATCAAGGAGAGGTTTTACTGGTTGCATTGCAAATATGACGTCGAAGATTGGTGCCGGAAATGCACTAGTTGTGCAGCTGTCAAGGGTCCACAAACAAGGAGCAGGGGGGCGATGAAAATCTACAATGTTGGTATGCCTTGGGAAAGAATAGCCTTAGACATCGCTGGACCATTTCCAATCACTGATTCGGGCAATCGCTACGTTTTAGTGGTTATGGATTATTTTACAAAATGGCCGGAGGTCTTTGCCATACCGAATCAAGAGGCAGTAACTGTAGCCACGAAGTTGGTAAACGAGGTATTCACCCGATTCGGAGTGCCCTTGGAGATGCACAGTGATCAAGGACGGAACTTTGAATCCCAAGTTTTCCAGGAAACTTGTAAACTTTTGGGAATCCATAAGACTCGAACGACCCCTTATCATCCACAGTCAGATGGAATGGTCGAACGCTTCAACCAAACATTGGAGCGACACTTAGCAAAGGTGGTTGACAGCCATCAGAGAGATTGGGACACTTACATACCTCTCTTCTTGCTTGCCTATCGGACTGTTGTACATGAAAGTACCGCAAAGACGCCTGCATTTGCAAATTTTGGAAGGGAATTGAGATTACCGGCAGATCTTGTGTCGGGCTGTCCACCTGGTGACTCTCGCACCGAGTTTAGCGATTACATAAGCGAGTTAAGGGCAAAAATGTTGGACATTTATGAGCAGATCAGGGAGGCCGGTCTTCAAGCTAGTGATCGCGCAAAGACGCGCTATGATCGACGAGCCAATTCTGTTGGGTTTGAAGAGGGGTCATTGGTCTGGCTTCATAATCCAGTCAGAAGGAAGGGAAAATCTCCAAAGCTGCAACCGAGTTGGGAAGGTCCTTACGAGATAGTCACGAAGATCAATGACATTACTTACAGAATTCGGAAGTCTTCAAGGAGCCCTTTGAAAGTTGTCCATATAGACAGGTTGGCGAGGTATTACGGCAGCAACGATGCTCGGGACGAGCGAATCTAAGAGGGGGGCAGTGTGACAGAAAACTCTTTGACATCATGACGTCAATGGATGGTTGTCAAACGTTGCCTAGAGATTGTAAATTTCGTCGTGAATTGTCAATACGAGTTGGTGTAATTGGTAAGGCGTGTGGATTACACTACAGAGACCCCGAGTTCGAGTCCCGCCGTAAACATGAAGTTTTTTAGTTGATGGAAGTTTTGTCGAACTTTCTGGAATTATTTGTGTGAAAGAGATGAAAAATTAAAGAGTGAGAAGGAGAATAAATAAAAATGAATAGCGAAATTATTGGAAGGTTCTGGAGGCATGACGATCAAAAAGAATAACGAAATTGAATGTTCCAGAACCTGACCGGGGGTATATAAGCAGAACTGCGGCTCACCCCTGGCAGTTGAGTTCTAAGTCTAAAGCGATTCGGAAGAAAAGGAAGAAGTAAAAAAGAAGAAAAGTGAGTGAAATAGTGAAGTGCAGTGAAATAGTGAAGTGCAGTCACTTAAGTGAGTTAAGTCAGTGTGAACGGCAAAGTTGTGTCAGTCGGCCGGACTCTGCTGGAGAGGAACGCCGATAACTTAACTCCGTGGACGCTGTAACTTAAGTGCAATAGAAAGTCTGAAAACCGGCATTAGTGTTTCATTTCATCCAATCCCGTAACTCAAGCCCGCATTGTCAGGAACGTGACGTCAGGCTCGTAACAATATATTATAAATAATGAATCTCCAATTCGGACCGAGCACCTAGCTTCACTGACGAACAGACAGACAGACTATAATAATATTCCATTTTGACTTGGACTTGTAATAATTCCCCAGATTTGCGGCAAATCGTTCAACTCTCGCGACAACCGAAACACGCACCGCTTCGTGCACAGCGACAAGAAACCTTACGAGTGCGTCGCCTGCGGGGCTGGGTACATGAGGAAACAACTGCTCTACGCCCATATGAATACCAGCGTAAGCCTTACAAAACTTGCATATACTACATAGCACTTTGTTATCTCGTAGGACGGCAACGACCTGATGGTAAGCAATCAGCGCCGCCCATGGACCGACGACGACGTCAGTCACGACTGCGTTGCCGACCTTTTGGGGATTAGGCCTCCGGTAACCTCAATTACACGGCGAAACACAACGCTGTGGTTGTTTCACGCCGGAATTCTGTGAGGCCGTGGTATCACTCCGGTCAAAAGTCAAAAGTCGGAAGCATGAGTCTCCCGCACTCAATATAAAAAATGGTATAAGAGTCACTTTCTGTGTTCCTATTGCCTATGTACGCTTAAATCTTCAAAACTGCGCAACAGATTTTGATGCGGATTTTTCAATGGAAAGTGTGATTGAAGAGGAAGGTTTATAATTATGTATAATAACATCCCTTAACTAGTGGGGAAATTTAGTATTACCATTAAGCCGGGGCGGGTCGCTGGTACTACAATATCTGCAATACTTATTAACCTAGATCGATCCAGTTTTCAATGCAATTCACTTATTAATTTTAGCCATTAGTCGTTTTAGACATCATTACATAATCTGTTTTTATTTCCACAGGGTCACCTGGCGGAGTCCATCGTTGTCAATCAACCTAGAGTCATCAAAGTTACCGAAAATGTTCGTATATTTATAAATATTAACACGTTACTGAGGGTCAGGCTGCACTGTTGGCCCAGTGGCTTTATAATAGGCTGTTGTACAACGTGTCGGTAGCTCGATTCCCGCACGGAACAATTCGGTAGTTTCCTAGGTCAAAAATATTGAAAAATGACTATAATTTTATTCATTGGTCTGTCAGTACACAAAATTTTTGATATTTTTTAGCTAATTTTTAAGAAATATGTGCGCTAAAATACTATGACGATTTAATTTGGAGTTTTATACAAATTTCATAAAGAGTATTGAATTGGACTAGTTGGAAACTACCGTATTTTTTGATGACATCCACAAATCGTTGCTCCGGGTCAGGGTGTGATGTGTATGTGACATTGTATGCTTGGAAACGCACCCACGACACCACAGAAACACCTAATATGGAGTAACTGTTTCAAAACATAATTTTAATTTTGAAGTATGATTGTAGTTTTTAATTAAAGTCCTTTTTCTTTTCCCAGGGAACTAGTTCGCATGCTACGGATATAACTGACCTAGACACAAAAACCAGTAAATTTGATGCGGTAAGTTGGCATAGCAATATTTTGTTTGGCCTTTACAGGAACCAGTAAACGTGGTATACCTAGGAGTTGAATGAATATTGTGGTGAAAATAAATAAAAATCACTAAAATGAAGAAAAACGTAACATAATATAAACTGACGAAGTTTACATTACGATTAGGCTTTGACAAAACGTTTTTTAGTCAGTAAGAGTCTGACACTCCACTCCCTCCCGACCCTGGGCGGGAGAAGTCATTTGATGATTTTCCACTTACAAAAAAGGGTCTAATTGAAATAAAGGCTTTTTTACTTGACTTTTCAAAAATAAAATATTTTTTACAGATATTCGAGGCACACACTGAATTGGAGGCTAGCATCAAGTCCGGTGAGTATTTTTGTTATTGCATCGGTCGGCTAACGAGCGTCCGTACTAACTGAAGGTAAGCAATCGGCCGTGGTACCCTACAGTATTCTCATCCTCACAGAATAACGGCGTGAAACAACGTCGTAGTTCGCCGTGTGACTGAGCTTACCGGAGGCCCTTCCGAGAATAACCCACAATAGTTCGGCAAACCACTTGTAGTAACTTCTATGGAGTATGAGTCTCCATAGGCGGCGCCGATAGCTTCCCATTAAAAATATAATGACTAACTACCTATTTCGCTATCCGTAATTAGTATTATAAAACCTTTTTTTTATATTTTCAGTGAAATCAGAAGCGGACGTGAATTTAGAAGATGCCAAATTCTATATTACTGAAGATAAGAAATTAATATTGCAGGATAGTGGTGAGTTATAATGTTGTCAGTAATATATGACGGAGTCTGGAACTATGGCTCGTGTACTGTGCTAGTATAGCTTATACCAACGTCGTGGTGGCTCGGAGGTTAAGGCGCTTCTCATGCATGGGGTAAGGGAACGAAACCTGACAAGTACCAATGTGACATTTTCCGAGTTATATGTACTTGCTATGACTATTCAGGCACACTGGTATACATACGGTGAAAGTAAACATCGTAGAGAAACCTGGACTTGTATAATTTCTAATTAAAAGTTTGACATCGTTAATCCGCCTTGAGCAAGAATGGTGATTAAGGCTCAAACCTTCTCCGTGTGAGAAGAGGCTTTTGCTCAGCAGTAGACACTTTAGGCTGATGATGTGATACAGCGATATCCTTACTCTGGTCTCTCTAACTGCACAAAAGTCTCTCCATTGTAATGAAGTGTTTATCTCAGACTCAGAATCAGGTATGAAGGTTTATTTGTTTGATTTAATATTTTATTATGTTTCAGATAAAACGACATTGAATTTAATACAGGAAGGAGACGAGTCTACGCTTTTAACTATACGTAAGTCTTAACTGTATTATTTTAAGGTTGATTTTTCTTAATTTTTTCTGTTGTAAAATTGATTACAATTCAATTTAAAAATGTGAAAAGTGAGTGACTTATTGAAATCTATATTTGTTACAGACAACATAGGAGAGAGGGCCGACGCGACAATTTTAGAAGCTGTCAATGCTGACCAATTGTCTGAACAGACTGAAGTAAGTTTTATCTGTACAAACATGTAATACTAGTTACTGTCGCGCGGTTTCACCCGCTGCTTGTTTCTATTATTCTATATGAAGTTTCATAGTCCAAGTCTACAGACTATAAAACTTGAGGGTGTGGACCACTTTATTATAGACAATATTTCCGTTCTGGTACTAAATTTCTTCACTATTTAATGGATGCTAGTATACACATAAACCTTTCTCTTCAATCACTCAATCTATAAAAACCCGCCTCAAAATCTTTTGCGTAAAGATGTAAGCATACATAGGGATATAGGGACAGAGAAAGCGACTTTGTTTTATATTATGTACTTAGTGGTGGTAATGTCCTTCAACGTGTTCATATATTTCTATTTCAGATCGTAGCTAATGATGAGAATGGAGGCATGGTGCGACTGATCCAAATCAAATTACCTGACGGTAACAACGGATGGGTGGCATCAATCGCTGAAACATTTCTGCCGGGCTAAGGACTCTGCCAAACACCGGTCAATGGGAACTGTTAATTTATATTTTAATGCCCATCTTTACATACGTCTTTACGTCTACATAATCACATAATTTCGTCTATGTATTTGTCCTATCTAAGTGACGGACTAAATTGATAGATATTATATTTTAATATCCTGTTGTCCCCTAGTATAAGCCGAATTATAGACAAAAATATCTGTGCTTTAGTCTGTCTAAATCTCTAAAACGGCCGAACTGACATACTTAAGGTTAGTTTTTAAATATACGTGGAACTCTAGGGAAGGTTTAAAGCAGTGAGAAATTATGAAAATGTGAGTAAAATAATAAAAACGCGTGTTTCCGTCGCAGTACGCCAGCGTGATACAACCACAGCGTTGTGTTTTGCCGTGTGATTGATGTTACTAGAGGCCCCAATCCTTCCCCTCCCCCTATCCCCAATCCTCAAATCCCTACCACAAAAAGCCGGCAACGCACTTGTAAGTGTCTTCCTTCTTCATATTCGGCGTATATTGCTTACCATCAGGTATTCCGTCTGCTCGTTTGCCGACCTATACCATAAAAAAGACTTATTTGCATAAGTTATCTATACTGTCTATTATATTTATAAATCAATTGGAACCTTTTTAAGGGGGCGAAATCATCTTAACTCTTCTCCCGCCCGGGGTGGGGTAAGAGGAAGTGTCAGACTCTTACTGACTAAAAACCATCTCACCCTGGGTGGGAGAAGTCAGTCAGTAAGATTATTGAAACTGATGGAAAAATCAATTCAATGGGTCTGTTCTTATGCTCTTCAATGGCGCTAGACTAGCCAGGGATTGGTCCAAACACTCGTTGACAGAAGAAATCGTATAACAATAGCTGATTCTCTATTGGGCGAATTAAAGACAGCGCCATCTGTTGAGCAAAAAATACAGTAGCAGCCAAACCCGTTATGGACCTATTCTGGTCTATCTATTTAGTAATTAACTAAATGTAAACAATGTTAGCATGGCTTTTTATCTAAAGGATGTATGTAGAAATGTTTACAATCAGGTATTTACCTAACTGGATGCTAGCTTATAAACTAAATTTAAATAATCTATGTATGTATTTTGTACGAGCTCTTTAATAGAAAAAGACATACCGACATTGTTTTCTTTTAGTAAACCATCTAAACTGATAGACCATAGGTTTTTTAAATCAAGTAATTATTAATGCAGTAGTTTCCAACTAGTTAAATTCAATACTTTTATCCAAATATAAAAAACGGTACATTTCTATGAAATTTGTATGGAGAACTGAGTAATGACGTGATAGCTTTTTTGCGTCAAATAGTTTACTTATTTCTTAAAAACTAGCTAAAAAATATCTAAAATTCAGTGTATCGATCGATCGATGAATAAAAGTATAGTTATTTTTCAATATTTTATTGCATTGAAACGTCGAATTAATTTATTTTTGACCTAAGAAATCACCCAATTATTTTTGTCTATCATGTATCAATATTAATCTTATACTGATAGTCTTACTTTAAATTTGACTAATTTTGCTGTTAACTAAATGATGCGATCATGGATCCGATGCCCGAATCTGGCAAAAATATCCAAAATTCAATGTTTATATAAGTAAGAGGCGTATTTTCATGCCCGATGTAAATTAATAATCGCTTTGCCCGAACGGGAATGGAACCCATGATCATGTGGCATTCACCTAGTCTTGTATAAATATAGACAATATGTTAATGTAAGTAGGTAGCGAAAAATGAAATAATGTTTTAAATTATATTATGGGAGTCGCATAGCGATTGCATTGTTATTAGGAGTAAATATTTTATAACAAAGATATGTATTGCAACATATAATGTTAATATGAAATAAAACAGTTTTTAGTGGCACTTGGTTATTTCATGCTTTCCTTTATGGGCCTACAAGCTTCCGCCCAGGGCTTCGTCCGCATGGTATGTTGATAAAAAGTAGCCTATGTGCTAATCCAGGCTATCACCAACCTACATACCAAATTGCAACTAGATCGCTCCAGTCGTTTTTGCGTGGAATAATATCAAACATCGATACATTCTCACGAACTTTCACGTTTTTATAATATTAGTAGGAAGGCAGGCCGGCCGCTCTAGGACTTGCGGCGGTATTCACCGCTTAGCATTTAATTGTAAAATTCAAAAATCAAATCAAAATCATTTATTCCAACTAAACCATAAATAGGTACTTTTGAAACGTCAAAATAGAATAGTAGTCTGTCAGTCTGTTCATCAGTGAAGCTAGGTGCTCGTTCCAAATTGTAAATGCGGACTCTTGTATTCATAAAATACATAATTCTGTCCTAGCCCGAAATATTCAAAAAGTCTCTCTAGTCGGATTTCATAATGAAGAGGCAATTTTTCCATTTTCCAACATATTTGTCTTTGACTAGACGAACAGGTTTATTTAGCTCATGGCGGGCTCCAAAAGTAACGATAATTGTGTAACTTACAAAAATGCATATTATATGTCTGTCTGTTTTCACTTATGAAAAGCAGTTTTCACGAAATAAATTAAGCGTATTTTTTTTCTAATACCTAATCAAAGTAACTACCAAATCACCATATCCATCAAATCACCATATCCACCAAATCACCAGATCCACCAAATCACCATACCCACCAAATCACCATATCCACCAAATCACCGTATCCACCAAATCACCATATACACCAAATCACCATATCCACCAAATCACCATATCCACCAAATCACCGTATCCACCAAATCACCATATACACCAAATCACCATACCCACCAAATCACCATATCCACCAAATCACCGTATCCACCAAATCACCATATACACCAAATCACCATTTCCACCAAATCACCATATCCACCAAATCACCATATCCACCAAATCACCATATCCACCAAATCACCATAAATGCATATTTGCCAAAGCATTTATTGATGCCCTATTTGAAGAAATCAGCTAGACGGGAGGCAACACATTCTTCAAGGGCATTTTCATTGTCTGTCAGGTAGGTATTGAATTATTTTCCCGACAAAAAATTATTAAAATTTCTCAGAAAGTAAAAGTCTGTTGGCGCTAGATCTGGTGAGTAGGTACGGTGGAGAACTTCTCCCCAGCTCTTGTAGCTTAGAGACCGTCTGATGTGCAGTATTATGAGCCGAAGGATTGACCGAAGCTGGTTGGAGACTTGCGAGTTTTACCATCGTTGTGTTCAGTTCCTCACAGTACATACATACCTATCTGGAGGAATGTCCATCTTTTTTGGTAAAAAGCTGAGATGCTTTACACACTGTAAGGATGGAAGAAACGAAAGATGTTGTAGGTACATGAATACAGACTGCCATTTATTCAGAGAGCACTACATTATAGGTATACTATTTCAAGTTTCATACGTAGTGTAGTGTATAGTTTCATAAGTAGTATTACATTAATAAATGTAACATAGTAGATATAGATGTAGATGCTTCATACGGTAGAACACTAAGAAAAACGAACATTTATAGCATTTTTTGGATCCTGAACCAGGGCTCTACCAACTTGCCGAGCACATACGATCGTCAAACAGGATCCATTACTCTCCACAAGTAACGATGGGGTTCAGAATTCCTTGCAAGAAGAAGAACTGCAAGGCACGTCTTGAGGTGTAGGAGGGACGGCGGGGTCGCGGGGTCGGTGGGGGCGCGGGCCGGGGGCCGGGCACCGCTGCGGCACGTGCGGGAAGTGCTTCAGTAGCCGCAGCCTGCTGGCGGAGCACCACAACGTGCACTCGGGGGCGCGGCCCTACCGCTGCACACTCTGCCACAAGGCCTACGCCTCCAAGTACACGCACCAGGCACATCTCAAGACACATGCGGTCAGTAAGAGAGCAGTGCTTCTGATACTATGTTTTCCTAAAATTATACTTATACTTATGTTTTCCTAAAATTAAAATCAAAGTTAACCTTACTCAAAAGTATACAAAATGGATTTCTAAGAGCCTTAAAAACGCAATAAAAACTAAAAGAAATCTACGATTTAAATACTACTCTAAACCTAAAAGACAAAAAGTATGACCACTAAAATCATGAAATTCATAGGCCCTGCTACTATCCCAACTCTCGTACATCTAATTAATTAGTCACTATCAACAGGCGTGTTCCCGGACAACAAGATATCAGTAATTTAACCAATTAAAAGAAAGGGAAACAAAAAGATATTGACAATTATAGACCAATATTGTTTTGCTACTTATACTCTCAAATATTTACGAAAAAAATTGCATTCCAGGCTTACCATTTTTATTGAAAGATTTCGAATCCTAAGAAAAGAACAATATAGATATCAAAATAATTAATCGACAACCATGGCGGCATTTAATTTGATAAACCAAGCTTCTTAAAATATTGACTGCATAATTCCAAACAACTGTTATTTTCTTTGATATGTCTAAGGCCTTTGATTTTGTTTCTCATGACTTAATCCTGAAAATATGAGAAAAATATGGACTACGCGGTAAAGCAAATGGACGGATAAAAAGTTATCTTACAAAACGATCACAATTTGTAGAAATCAACGTAGATAAAACTAAACAAAGCGAAATTGTATATAAATCTAACTTGGGTCACAAAAAATCCACAGGCGTTCCTCAGGGAAGTATTTTAGGTCCTCTACTATTCCTATTATACATTAAAAACCTAAATGGAAGATACAAATTATCCTTGCATACTTTTCGCAGATAATGTGTCAGTCATAATATCAAAGAATAACGAATATTACAACCAAGAAATAAATAACACTGTCAACAAAGTCTTGAGATAGTTGAATGGAGAATAATAACTTAAAACCTAATATAACAATGAGTTTCCTCTGATTTTAATCAGCATGAAACTCTCTTTCTTTAGGTACAACTTTGATAATTGTAGGTTTTTTAGTTTTTGAGAAAATCGAATTAGAGTGTCTAGGTAGGTAGCGAGTGGCTCGATTTATTTGCTGTCCAGTGTATATTTTTAACCATATCAAAAACTGTCTTTGTAAAAATGTATTTATCCATATGTTTTCAGGTTCGACCTCGTCCGTTTAAATGCAATCAATGCGGCAAATCGTTCCTCACGCAACAAAACCTCAATCAACATGAAAAGACTCATTCCGGAATCAAAGATTTCATCTGTAATATATGCAGTAAGTACTTTTACTAGCCCTGCTATTATATGTATACACCTGAAGGTAAGCAATCGGCGCCGCGCATGGACACCCGCAACGCCAAAGGAGTTACGAACGTCGCCGTCCTTTTGGAGATTGGGAGAGTGGAAGGACTGGGCCTCCGGTAACCTCACTCACACGGCGAACAACGCTGTAGTTGTTTCACGCCGGTTTTCTGTCAGGTCGTGGTATCACTCCGGTGGAGCCGACCCATTCGTGCCGTGCCAAGCTTGACTTTAACACACTCCATCCAAATATTAAAAATATTCCCTCCGCTTCCAGACAAAGCATTCAGTACTCAGCACAACCTGGAAGTGCACGGCGTGGTCCACTCGGGGAACAAGGCCTTCGTCTGCACCGACTGTGGGAAGGCCTTCGCGCGCAGGGCAGAGCTCAGGGACCATATACGGATACATACTGGTATGGAAACAAGATTTTACTTCTAAACTACAAAAGAGATTGGAGTTCCTAGTTGATAAAACTCCAACAATTTTTCATTTCATTGGGTCGGGTAGTTTTGTAGTGAGAAAGCGATGACCCTGTCGGAACTATAGATATAGGGACCCCCCCCCCCCCTTGTTGCAGGCGAGCGTCCGTTCTCGTGCGAGGAGTGCGGCGCGAGGTTCACTCAGCGCTCGAACCTGCACTCCCACCGCCGCGCCACGCACTACAACGACACCAGGCACCACTGTACCCTCTGTCCCAAGAAGTTCAAGCGGAGGAGGTGCGTACTCACTCACTTACTTACATAACCACCACCACTCTACACGCGGGTGTGATATACACAACCCACCAATAGACCAGCTACGTACTGGTTACTCAGCAGATATTGCGATTGTCCATGGGTGGAGCCAATGATATAAGTAAAATGGTGTAGATAGGTTAACTAAAACAAATTCGATTTTCACGGCACACATGAACAATTCGTATGTTTAGACGTCAAAGTGAGATGGCATGATTCAATAATCGCGAGTGAAAAAGAGACAAATATGAAAAGTGTGGCTAGTTAGCCACATTTTAGTATATCACTTGCTGAGCGCTTGTGACCCACCTTTTTACTTATAATATCACTAGCTATTTTCGCGCGGTTTTACCCGCTGCTTGGCTCCATTGAATTGTAGCGTGATGTTTTATAGCCTATAGGACTCAGGAACATTGTAGCTATCTATCAGTGAAAGAATTTTGGCAATCCGACCAGCGGTTCCAAGGGTTACCCCCTACATACAAACTTAAACATTTTACCTCTTTATAATATTACTTAGTATAGATTGGGTAGAGCCTATTGCTTACCATCAGGTAATCGGTCAGCTCGTTTGCAGACCTATCTCATAGAAAAACAAGTGAACTCTTGTGGTGATATCTAACAAGACGAAATTCTGTAGAAGAATCGTTTGCTGCATAAAGAAATATTTAGAAGCTGATGATGATGATATCTGGTCCCAGGTTACTAGAGTACCACATAAAGGCGACGCACACGGGCGAGCGTCCCCTGAAGTGCAACGTGTGCCAACTGTCCTTCGTGTACCCCGAGCATTACAAGAAACATGTCCGCATACACTCCGGGGAGAGGCCCTACGTCTGCGAGGTAACTATACTGTTATAGGGCTTGTTAGGGGGGGGAAAGATCTACAAGGTACTTCTGGGACCCTGGATAGGGCGAGAGGGAGTGTCAGACTCTTACTGACTTGAGTCACCGCGGCCTCGGCCAAGAAGAGAAGGAACGGGTGGGGGGGGGGGGGGAGGTTTAGTCATTGAGGCGCTCCTTGTCGCCCAACACAGTGGGAGAGAGGTCATTTGATTATCTTACTCCTCCAGAAAAAGGGTAAGCAAACAATGCTTCTCATATCATCAGAACACTAATAGATTAGCACGGCCTCCGATAACCTAAGCTGGATTTCTCTGAGGCTATGGTATCACTCTGGAGAAACCGATTTATTATATCTCCCCTCACACAAAAATAGACTCTTACTAAGTTTTACCTCATTCCGTCTCCTGCTAACACAACGTGTGATATAAAAAAAAAAACTAAAACTATAAATGGCATATAAAATAAATATTATATCGTAATGGCCCGAAGGTTAAGGCCTGAAACCTGACAAGCACCAATGTGACTTTTTCCGTGTCATATGTTGATTCTTTGTTCATTTAGACACTACTGACAAACGGTGAAGGAAAACATCGTGAGGAAACCTGGACTTACAAATTACTTATTAAAAGTTTGTCGCTAATCCGCCTTGAGTAAAACAAAGTTCAAACTCTATCCGTGTGAGAAGAGGCCTTTGCTCAGCAGTGAGCACTTAAAGGCTGATGATGTTCGGACCGAGCACCTAGCTTCACTGACGAACAGACTGACAGACTATAATAATATTCCATTTTGACTTGGACTTGTAATAATTCCCCAGATTTGCGGCAAATCGTTCAACTCTCGCGACAACCGAAACACGCACCGCTTCGTGCACAGCGACAAGAAACCTTACGAGTGCGTCGCCTGCGGGGCTGGGTACATGAGGAAACAACTGCTCTACGCCCATATGAATACCAGCGTAAGCCTTACAAAACTTGCATATACTACATAGCACTTTGTTATCTCGTAGGACGGCAACGACCTGATGGTAAGCAATCAGCGCCGCCCATGGACCGACGTACGAGTTGCGACTGCGTTGCCGACCTTTTGGGGATTAGGGATTAGGCCTCCGGTAACCTCAATTACACGGCGAAACACAACGTTGTGATTGTTTCACGCCGGTTTTCTGTGAGGCCGTGGTATCACTCCGGTCAAGCAAGTAGGAAGCATGACTCTCCCACACTTAATTTAAAAAATGGTATAAAAGTCACTTCCTCCGTCCCTATTACCTGTGTACGCTTAAATCTTCAAAACTGCGCAACAAAATTGATGCAGTTTTTAAAGGAAAGTGTGATTGAAGAGAAAGGTTTATACGTATAATAACATCCCTTGAGTTGTGAAAATTTAGTATTACCATTGCTAAGCCGGGCGCGTCGTTGGTACTACAATATCTGCAATACTTATTAACCTAGATTGACCCACCTTTCAATGCATATCACTTATTAATTTTAGCCATTAGTCGTTTTAGACATCATTACATAATCTGTTTTTATTTCCACAGGGTCACCTGGCGGAGTCCATCGTTGTCAATCAACCTAGAGTCATCAAAGTTACGGAAAATGTTCGTATATTTATAAATATTAACACGTTACTGAGGGTCAGGCTGCACTGTTGGCCCAGTGGCTTGACTATAGGCTGCTGTACAACGTGTCGGTAGCTCGATTCCCGCACGGAACAATTGGGTAGTTTTCTAGGTCAAAAATATTGAAAAATGACTATAATTTTATTTATTGGTCTGTCAGTACACAACATTTTTGATATTTTTTAGCTAATTTTAAGAAATATGTGCGCTAAAATACTATGACGACATAATTTGGAGTTTTATACAAATTTCATAAAGAGTATTGAATTTGACTAGTTGGATACTACCGTGTTTCTTGATGACATCCACAAAATGTTGTTCCGGGTCTGGGTGTGATGTGTATGTGACATTGTATGCTTGGAAACGCACCCACGACACCACAGAAACACCTAATATGGAGTAACTGTTTCAAAACATAATTTTGATTTTAAAGTATGATTGTAGTTTTTAATTAAAGTCCTTTTTCTTTTCCCAGGGAACTAGTTCGCATGCTACGGATATAACTGACCTAGACACAAAAACCAGTAAATTTGATGCGGTAAGTTGGCATAGCAATATTTTGTTTGGCCTTTACAGGAACCAGTAAACGTGGTATACCTAGGAGTTGAATGAATATTGTGGTGAAAATAAATAAAAATCACTAAAATGAAGAAAAACGTAACATAATATAAACTGACGAAGTTTACATTACGATTAGGCTTTGACAAAACGTTTTTAAGTCAGTAAGAGTCTGACACTCCACTCCCTCCCGACCCTGGGCGGGAGAAGTCATTTGATGATTTTCCACTTACAAAAAAGGGTCTAATTGAAATAAAGGCTTTTTTTTACTTGACTTTTCAAAATTAATTATTTTGACTTAATCGTAATGCTATGACATATTTTTACAGATATTCGAGGCACAGACTGAATTGGAGGCTAGCATCAAGTCCGGTAAGTATTTTTGTTATTGCATCGGTCGGCTAACGAGCGTCCGTACTAACTGAAGGTAAGCAATCGGCCGTGGTACCCTACAGTATTCTCATCCTCACAGAATTACGGCGTGAAACAACGTCGTAGTTCGCCGTGTGACTGAGCTTACCGGAGGCCCTTCCGAGAATAACCCACAATAGTTCGGCAAACCACTTGTAGTAACTCCTATGGAGTATGAGTCTCCATAGGCGGCGCCGATTGCTTACCATCAGGTAACAAGGTTTGCCGACCTATCCCATTCAAAATATAATGACTAACTACCTATTTCGCTATCCGTAATTAGTATTATAAAAACCTTTTTTTAATATTTTCAGTGAAATCAGAAGCTGACGTGAATTTAGAAGATGCCAAATTCTATATTACTGAAGATAAGAAATTAATATTGCAGGATAGTGGTGAGTTATAATGTTGTCAGTAATATATGACGGAGTCTGGAACTATGGCTCGTGTACTGTGCTAGTACAGCTTATACCAACGTCGTGGTGGTTCGGAGGTTAAGGCGCTTCTCATGCATGGGGTAAGGGAACGAAACCTGACAAGTACCAATGTGACATTTTCCGAGTTATATGTACTTTCTATGACTATTCAGGCACCACTGGTATACATACGGTGAAGGTAAACATCGTAGAGAAACCTGGACTTGTATAATTTCTAATTATAAGTTGAAATCGCCAATCCGCCTTGAGCAAGGATGGTGATTAAGACTCAAACCTTCTCCGTATGAGAAGAGGCCTTTGCTCAGCAGTAGACACTTTAGGCTGATGATGTGATACAGCGATATCCTTACTCTGGTCTCTCTAACTGCACAAAAGTCTCTCCGTTGTAATGAAGTGTTTATCTCAGAATCAGGTATGAAGGTTTATTTGTTTGATTTAATATTTTATTATGTTTCAGATAAAACGACATTGAATTTAATACAAGAAGGAGACGAGTCTACGCTTTTAACTATACGTAAGGCTTTATTGAATTATTTTTAAGTTGTTTTTTCTTAACTTTTTCTGTTGTAAAATTGATTACAATTCAATTTAAAAAAGTGAAAAGTGAGTGACTTATTGAAATCTATATTTGTTGCAGATAACATAGGAGAGAGGGCCGACGCGACAATTTTAGAAGCTGTCAATGCTGAACAATTGTCTGAACAGACTGAAGTAAGTTTTATCCGTACAAACATGTAATACTAGTTACTGTAGCGCGGTTTCACCCGCTGCTTGTTTCTATTATTCTATATGAAGTTTCATAGTCCAAGTCTACAGACTATAAAACTTGAGGGTGTGGACCACTTTATTATAGACAATATTTCCGTTCTGGTACTAAATTTCTTCACTATTTAATAGATGCTAGTATACACATAAACCTTTCTCTTCAATCACTCAATCTATAAAAAATCAGTTGCGTAAGCATACATAGGGATATAGGGACAGAGAAAGCGACTTTGTTTTATATTATGTACTTAGTGGTGGTAATGTCCTTCAACGTGTTCATATATTTCTATTTCAGATCGTAGCTAATGATGAGAATGGAGGCATGGTGCGACTGATCCAAATCAAATTACCTGACGGTAACAACGGATGGGTGGCAATCAATCGCTGAAACATTTCTGCCGGGCTAAGGACTCTGCCAAACACCGGTCAATGGGAACTGTTAATTTATATTTTAATGCCCGTCTTTACATACGTCTTTACGTCTACATAATCACATATTTTCGTCTATGTATTTGTCCTATCTAACTGACGGACTAAATTGATAGATATTATATTTTAATATCCTGTTGTCCCCTAGTATAAGCCAAATTATAGACAAAAATATCTGTGGGTTAGTCTGTCTAAATCTCTAAAACGGCCGAACTGACATAGTTAAGGTTAGTTTTTAAATATACGTGGAACTCTAGGGAAGGTTTAAGCGGTGAGAAATTATGAAAATGTGAGTAAAATAATAAAAACGCGTGTATCCGTCGCTGTACGCCAACGTGACACAACCTCAGCGTTGTGTTTTGCCTTATGATTGATGTTACTAGAGGCCCCAATCCTTCCCTATCCCCCCATCCCAATCCTCAAATCCCTACCACAAAAACCTGGCAACGCACTTGTATGTGTCTACCTTGGTCATATTCGGCGTAGATTGCTTACCATCAGGTATTCCGTCTGCTCGTTTGCCGACCTATACCATAAAAAAGACTTATTTGCATAAGTTATCTATACTGTTATATATTATATTTATAAATCAATTGGAACCTTTTTAAGGGGGCGAAATCATCTTAACTCTTCTCCCGCCCGGGGTGGGGTAAGAGGAAGTGTCAGACTCTTACTGACTAAAAACCATCTCACCCTGGGTGGAAGAAGTGATTTAATATTTTTTCAATAGAAAGATTATTGAAACTGATTGAAAATCAATTCAATGGGTCTGTTCTTGTGCTCTTCAATGGCGCTAGACTAGCCAGGGATTGGTCCAAACACTAGTTGACAGAATAAATCGTATAACAATAGCTGATTCTCTATTGGGCGAATTAAAGACAGCGCCATCTGTTGAGCAAAAAATACAGTAGCAGCCAAACCCGTTATGGACCTATTCTGGTCTATATGTTTAGGTAATTAACTAAATGTAAACAATGTTAGCATGGCTTTTTATCTAAACGTTGTATGTAGAAATGTTTACAATCAGGTATTAACCTAACCTAACTGGATGCTAGCTTATAAACTAAATTTAAATAATCTTTGTATGTATTCCATACGAGCTCTTCAATAGAAAAAGACATACCGACATTGTTTACTTTTAGTAAACCATCTAAACTGATAGACCATAGGTTTTTTAAATCAAGTAATTATTTATGCGGTAGGTTCCAACTAGTTAAATTCAATACTTTTATCCAAATGTCAAAAACGGTACATTTCTATGAAATTTGTATGGAGAACTGAGTTACGACGTCATAGCTTTTTTGCGTCAAATAGTTTACTTATTTCTTAAAAATTAGCTAAAAAAATATCTAAAATTCAGTGTATCGATCGATCGATGAATAAAAGTATAGTTATTTTTCAATATTTTATTGTATTGAAACGTCGAATTAATTTATTTTGACCTAAGAAACCACCCAATTATTTTTGTCTATCATCTATCAATATTAATCTTATACTGATAGTTTTACTTTAAATTTGTCTAATTTTGATGTTAACTAAATGATGCGATCATGGATTCGATGCCCGAATCTGGCAAAATATCCAAAATTCAATGTTTTTATAAGTAAGAGGCGTATTTTCATGCCCTGTGTAAAAAATTAATAATCGCTTTGCCCGAACGGGAATCGAACCCATGACCATTGATGTGGCATTCACCTAGTCTTGTATAAATATAGACAATATGTTAATGTAAGTAGGTAGCGAAAAATGAAATAATGTTTTAAATTATATTATGGGAGTCGCATAGCGATTGCATTGTTATTAGGAGTAAATATTTTATAACAAAGATATGTCTTGCAACATATAATGTTTATATGAAATAAAACAGTTTTTAGTGGCACTTGGGTTGTTTCATTTTTTCCTTTATAGGTTCTGACTTGCTAGCTAAGTTTAGCTTCACAGTGTAGCATTTCATTGTAATAAATTCAAAAGTCAAAGCCTTATTGATCAAGAAGTTTAAATACAGGATTCTGTCATAGAAAAAAAATACTCTAGTGCGGTTTTGTTACAGAACATTTAAATAAGAATATTTTTGGCGGTCTTTTCGATCTAGAGACGGATATTAGGTATTTTTTGCTAAGCTCATATAATCATGGCTGGCTCATATAATAGTAACGATAATTCTATAACATCTCTATCGATTAAAGACATCTGCTTCAAAATTTAATTTCTAGAATCCTCATCACAAACATAGATTTATTACCTTTTATATTGCTTTTTATTCGAAATAACGAAATTAATGAAGCATATTATTTTCTATTTCCTAATCAAAGTAATTCACCAATGCAATAGATGCATTTTTGCCAACGCATTGACAGTTAGCTTTGTTGAAGGAATCAGCTAGACGGGAGGCAAGAAATTCTTCAATGGCGATTTGTACTGCCTCTCCGGTATTAAATTGTTTTCTTGCCAAGAAGTTATCTAAATTCTAGAACTCAGAAGTCTGTTGATATAAGAGAGCACTTGATTATAGGTATACTATTTCAAGTTTCATAGGTATAGTATTGTAATATAGTAATATACATATATAGGTGCTTTTATACAGTACAAAACCAACAATAAACGTTTTTGTTTATACCTTAATTTTCTGTTCTGTGGTTTATACCATTGTTGGATCTTGCACCAGGGCCCAAGTGCCCAACCAACTTGTTGAGAAACACGATTGTCCTCTTCTCATCCGGAGAAGGTTAGAGCATTAATCACCACGCTTGTTCAATGCGGGTTGACGATTTCAAACTTATAATTAGAAATTATAAGTCCAGGTTTCCTCACGATGTTTAACTTCACCGCATCTCAGTGGTGTCTAAATAATCATAGTAAGTACATTTAACTCGGAAAAAGTCACATTGGTACTTGCCACGTTTCGAACCCACACTCTCATGCATGAGAAGCGGGCTCCTTAACCTCTCGGTCAGTGCCTCTTTTCTGGTCACAATTAATATTTTTTCTGTACTGAAGTGAAAGTGGCGAAATGAGGGATTCTGTGACGAATTGTTGAGCAGTGCAAGGAACGACTTGAGGTACATCGCGTTGAGAATCATTGAGTATTTTTTGCTAATTTGACGCAACCTTACAGTGGCTTCTTATTCTTTTTTGTCAACCAGTTTTCGGTCGACCACGAAATTTATTTTTCAGGTCAAGATTTCCAGAACGGAAACAGGCAAACAATGTTCGGTTCAGTCCGCAAACGTCTTTGATATTGCGTCCGATTTGCTGCCATGACCAAATTGGATATTGTTACGTGCCTGACGTCACGTTCCTGACTATGCGGGCTTGGGTTACGGGATTGGATAAAATTAAACACTAATACCGGTTTTCAGACTTTCTATTGCACTTAAATGACAGTGTTCACCGAGTTAAGTTTTCGGCGTTCCTCTCCAGCAGAGTACGGGCGTCTGACACAAACTTCCGTTTGCCGCTCACAGTTCACGCTGACTTTCACTTAACTCACTGCACTTCACTATTTCACTGCACTTCACTATTTCACTCACTTTTCTTCTTTTTCACTTCTTCCTTTTCTTCCGAATCGCTTTGGACTTAGAACTCAACTGCCAGCGGTGAGCCGCAGTTCCGCTTATATACCCCCGGTTCAGGTTCTGGAACATTCAATTTCGTTATTCTTTTTGATCGTCATAACTCCAGAACCTTCCAATAATTTCGTTACTCATTTTTATTTATTCTCCTTCTCGCTCTTTAATTTTTCATTTCTTTCACACAAATAATTCCAGAAAGTTCCACAAAACTTCTATCAACTAAAAAACTACATGTTTACGGCGGGACTCGAACTCGGGGTCTCTGTGATTACACAATCCACACGCCTTACCGATTACACCAACTCGTGTTGACAATTCACGACGAAATTTACAATCTCTAGGCAACGTTTGACAACCATCCATTGACGTCATGATGTCAAAGAGTTTGAACCACTTTTCCGTCACACTGCCCCCCTCTTAGATTCGCTCGTCCCGAGCATCGTTGCTGCCGTAATACCTCGCCAACCTGTCTATATGGACAACTTTCAAAGGGCTCCTTGAAGTCTTCCGAATTCTGTAAGTAATGTCATTGATCTTCGTGACTATCTCATAAGGACCTTACCAACTCGGTTGCAGCTTCGGAGATTTTCCCTTCCTTCTGACTGGATTATGAAGCCAGACCAATGACCCCTCTTCAAACCCAACAGAATTGGCTCGTCGATCATAGCGCGTCTTCAAAGTCAAAGTCAAAGTCAAAATCATTTATTCCAATTAAACCATCAATAGGTACTTTTGAAACGTCAAAATAGAAAAGTAGTCTGTCAGTCTGTTCGTCAGTGAAGCTAGGTGCTCATTCCAAATTGTAGATCCGAATGGAGAAGAACGAGCAAGAAACTCCATTCGTTACTCTTTTTTTTAAAAAAAAATTGTTTTACAATTTCAATAATATAACATTTATAGTATACATTAGTGTACCCTTATGTGAGAACAATGCAGAGACAAGTTGTTAAAAAAAAGAACAAATGAGGGGACCTATCATAAAATTTTACTCCTTTGTCGTCTCGAGCATGGCGCTCACATATGCGTACTCACAATATTTAAGAGTGCTTCTATATAAACTTTTTGGATATATAAATTAAGGATGCATTATTTTTGAGAATTTTACCTAACTGCTGACTATATTTGAGTATTGTCCAGTGGAGCCGAATCAACACGCTGCCAGGCATTCTTATCCTCAATATAATCTGAAAGTTTGTAGTATGCCTGTCTACACAATTCACGTTTAATATAAGTTTTAAATTTTCGTTCGTTAAGATTCAATACAGTACTTGGAATTTTATTGTAACAATTTACACAGAACCCCATAAAGGATTTCTGTACCTTGGACAGACGGAATCGTGGCACAGCCAGCCTATCTTTGCCTCTTGTATTAAAATTATGTCTATCGCTTCTTTTTTCAAATAATTGCAAATTTTTCCTTACATACATAATATTTTCATATATAAACTGACAAGGCACCGTCAGGATATTTATCGTTTTAAATAGTTCTCTCAGAGATTCGCGACGGGGCAAGTTATATATCGCTCGGAT